TAGTGAAGGAGTGCTCCAACAGAGGAGAATGGGCGTGACTGGCGTAGTGAGGTGCGACGTAGCGATGTGGTATCCTGAACAATTTTAATATTTTTAACGTTTGACAATGTATATGATAGATACATATTTTAGTTATTTTAATATGAGAACAAGGCATGCAATGAACTAGTTTGGCGTGGATAAGTAAGCACCTGAAGATGGCATTATTATGCCGAAACATGTAGTGCAAGGGAAAGAAGGAGATAAATGAGTGTATGCACTGCAAGACAGTTTAAATAAATCATGGATTTTGTGGAAACTTTGTGTAAAAATGAAACTAGAATAAGAATTGAAGACTGATATAAAGTATTAAATCAGCTGGACATATGAGTGCTGTCCACAATGTGAAAATCTAAGATGGTATGTAGACAATTTCACCCATTGTCTCTTCTAAGAGCAATGCTGTAGATGTATGGCACCTTTGCTTGCAGATATAATTTGAAAGAATTGCTCTTTTCCTTGTTATTTTTCCTTTTCTTTTTTATCTCTTTGCAAATAACCACTGTGGCTATGCCTTATCTTTGGCAGTCAGTCACTGGCTTCTCAACATGTAGATCTTGGTTAAATCCCAGGACCATCCACTTAGGATTTATAGTAAAAGTGGAATGGACTTGTTCCTCCAAGTACTGAAATTGGCCCATGCAGCAACCATTCCACCAGTTTGCCTATTCATATGTCATCATTTACATCATTGTCTGATACAGTAGACTGATTTGAGACTACAATATCAAGGGAATCAGTTTCACCCAACTCCAATTATTAGCAATGGTGAATAAAATATAGGCAATCAAGAAGTTTATTTCCAACATGATGCAGTACAAGGGGCGTTTCTGTCACAGTATAATGATGAAAGAGGTTAAAATTAGGTAAGTAATAATGTGAAGTATTTTTAGAAATTGAAAGTTCGTACATTTAGAGTTACATGGTCAATATGAATTTTCACATATTATTATTTTAACATTTCCAGGGTCCGAGAGCAGCGACAATGATAAATGCAGCCATCAAGCTTGGACATTGGGTTGTTCTACAAAACTGTCACCTTGCAGCCAGCTGGATGTCAGAACTAGAACGCATATGTGATGACATAATAATTCCTGAAACAACACATGAGAAGTTTCGACTCTGGCTGACCAGCTACCCATCTTCAGATTTCCCTGTTTCCATTCTGCAGAATGGTAAGCACTGAGATTCTGACTAAGAATTCATAGAGAGAAATGTTTCTGACATGTCCAGAGTGTACTTCCGTTTGTTTCATTGTAGTTAGTGCTATAAATATCCATTTTTTTTATTGCTTGAACAGTGAACTTTCTAAAGTAATTTGCTTCTAGGGTATGTTATGAAATAAAAATTAACTAAAGTGTAATGTAACAATCTTAATACTATGCATCTTGTTGTGTGTTATAAATGTATATGGAAGTATGCAGTCTACACAACAGTATTCTATATTTAAAAACAAAATAGGTACTATTGTATCAACATTTGTTTTTATTGATGCTACATGTTCTGATCCTTATACTGTGTCATCATCAGGCATACAGTTGCCTACAAGAAGACTAATACAATCAGACACCATTTGAAACTTAAAGGAATACCAGAAGATATATACAACCTGAGAGGTATATACCAGCTACAATGCTGCGCATGCCCACTCAAATATATTGGACAGACAGGACTCACATTCATAGTCTGCTACAGAGAGCATATAAATGCTATCAGGACTAATAAACAGCATTCTAAATTCGCATAACACATTTTGGAAACTTGACATGCATTTGACACGATGGACCAGACCATAAAAGTCTTACATATAGAAAGGATGGGACCCAAGCTCAACACATTGGAAAGATATTATGACATAACAAAGAAAGGTCTACAGATGTGCATAACCCCATATTTGACATTCTAGTAACAAAACACACACACCAAATAACCCCTCCCCTTCCCCATCTCTTCAGCCACTCACAGTATCCTCCCCCTACCTCATACCACTTGACTCTATTCAAACATACCCACATATAGAGATACGCCCCCAAACAAGTTGTCTAGACCAGATCACTACAACATAGCAACAACTTCAACACAGGGAGCAGCCTGTATACATATCATCCTAAGAAAATCTAATATATTTAAATACATATACTAGTTAGTTAGTTATTTAGAGAGGATGGGTTTCCCCATGCACCGCGACCAGTTTCATCTATTGTGCTTCCCTCTATGATATTCTACCAGTCTCTATATCCTACTGGTACTGGTGCTTACCATCAGTCCCGCCCAGCCAGCGAGACCGGCTCTACTAGCTGAGAGGTATCTATAATGCTTCCCCCATCTACTAGAGGTATTAGAGACTGCTGTTGGGCGGGAAACGTCCGTAATTTTGGCTTAGTGACCTCCTTTGGAGATATGAGGTTCTTTTACGTGCCATAAAGCTACGAAACGGGACCCACGGCTTAAAGTCCCTCCCGGAGGACTTGTTCCCTGAATTTTTCTGCCCTTAAAAATTCGACGACCTCTGCCGGGTATTTGAACCCGCGTACTACGAGTCATGAGGTGGGAACGTTACCTCTAGACTATGGAGGCCGCTATACATATACTAAATAACCTAATAAGGATTTTAATCATTTCTTACATCCTGTTGTGTGTTTTAATCAATAGTAGAGTGAATTTACCGACTACACAACACGTTTTTTATTATCACATTATCACTACATGTTTCGACCTTAACAGGTCATCTTCAGGTGTATGAACACGGCTGTATAATTACACACGGTCACATTCACTTTTCACTCATTCGACCTTGTATCTTTTCCACACTTACGCTCACTAATATATTGAGTTCTTTTATAAAATTTCATGAATCGAAGTTCAATTCATGTCACTTGAATTGAACTTCGATTCACGAACTTTTAACTCTTAACAATTAAATTAGAATAATAATAATAATTTTAACCTGTGTTTTATAAAAGAAATTTGGTTCGCGAGTGGTCCTAGCTGGACAATTCTGATTAAAGGACGAGATAATAGCCCATTGCAACTGGTCAAAGGACCGATCAGCATCCTTTTTGTGCATATATTTCCCGAGATTGTCTCCAGATTTACCTTTAGGTCGTCTTTGTAAAACTCCCAATCGGTTCTCTTAGGATTCCTATAAGTAGCTTGATCTGTAATGTTGCTTATTTGAAAGCATATATCTGTGATCCGTTAGGGACGGTTCATCAGATACATGCCAATTACTTATCAGGTTTCCTATTTTATTGGTCCCTAGTGTCAAGTCGATAACCTCCTGCCTATTGCAAACCACAAAGGTAGGCTCATTACCTTGGTTTAGAATATTAAGGTTTGAACTCACCAAATATTCCATGAGGCATTCTCCTCTTGGGTTGACGTCAGTGCTCCCCACAATGTGTGGTGCACGTTGGCATCACACCCAATGATGAGCTGTTTTTTTTTAAGATGGCAATATTCAGTGATGTCCCTCACTTCTTGGAAGGTGGTGGTTCATCCAAGTCATATGGAAGGTAGGCTGAAATGACGATGAGCTCCTCACAGCCTCCACCCAATGCATATGTCATCCTCACTGTTGTTGTGTCTCTGGAACAAAACTCCAGCAAGGGTAAAACATTAATATTATTATTAACATATGTGCATGATCTCACATTTTCTCCAGGTACAACAGAATAAGCTGTCCCCCCCCCCCCCNTTCGTTAAGCCTCTTATTTGGCCCCTATATATCCAAGGTTCCTAAATAAGTGTTATGTCTACTTTTCCTTCAGCAAGTTGTTGACATAAAATTGCCATAGCAGCCTTGCTGTGGTTTAGGTTAATTTGAATGAATCGTAGGTTGTGTGTAAATTTCATGTGTGTTTGTATGTGTTGTGTGTTCATTCTGTAATGCCGGGAAAGGTGTCCTCCTCCATACCTTCTTCCACAGCACTTTTTCCTTTATTGGACCTGGTTTCCTCCAAGGGAGGTCCCTGATCTGGTAAGGTCAGGTTGACGAGAGCAGGGACTGTCTCGTTCTCATCAGTTACTCTCTTCTGGTCAACTGAGGGAGTGGGTACATCATCCCCCTCCCCCTCAGAGGCCGATTTGGAAGATTCTGTATCTGACACAGGTTCTGCCCGGTGCACCTTAACAGTCCCCTGTGAGAGACCTATGAATATTTTGTAACTGTTCCTCTGTATAATAGTATAAGAGTCCTGGTCTATGAATAAGATAAGCCTCTGGCCTTTCGACTCAGATTGCTTATTGAGTGCCCTCAAATTCTCAGTATGAAGTCCTGGATTGAGGTCTGCAATCCATTTCAGCAGCTCTTCTTGATTCTAGGCAACTTTGTCCCTAGTCCAGAGAGCCACTTTAACAGGCTTGGGCAGGTTCATGGCATCAGTAGCCTTCAGCCTGGCCCCTGATTCCAGCCTGTGGTTGTCAATGGCTTTGGTGAACCATTGACCAGACTGTTGGTCATCATCATCATCATCAGTAATCTGTCAAGACGACAGGTCCACAGTCTCTTTCAAAACAATTCCTCCACTTAATGCGATCTAGAGCCTTCTCCTTCAAATGACAGTATCCTCTTCTGTCCCCAAGGTCATCCAGCATCTTCTTACGTCTTCTTCCTCGTCTTCTTGTCACTTCTATCCGCCCATCTATCTTTCCTTCGATAGCTTCTTTTAGAAGGCAGTTTCTGCGTAAAACATGACCAATCCAATTAGCCTTCCGTTTTCTTATTTCATGTAGGATATTCCTCTGCTCACTGACTCTAATTAACACTTCTTCATTTCTCACATAATCGGTCCAACTGATCTTCTCCATTCTTCTCCAACACCACATTTCGAAACTTTCCAGATGTTTCTGATCTACTGCCCTAAGTGTCCATGTTTCAGCCCCATACAGAGCTATGCTCCAAATGTAGCATTTCACTAGTTTCTTCCTCAAATTTAAGTCCAATTTGCTGGTAAAAAGATTCTTCTTCTTGCTAAATGCAGCTTTTGCCATGGCAATCCTGGATTTAATTTCACAAGTACACCTTCCATCATCTGTTAACAAGCTACCCAAATAACGCCTGCATGACATTTCCTCTAGAAACACTCCCCCCCGGAGATCCGATTGGGGGAGTAGTTTACCTCCGGATTGTTTTGCCTCCAGAGGAAACATCTCGCATATATGGTATCTCTACTGTTGGTCAGCGCATGCATAAATAAGTACACCTCCCACTAGTCTTTAGGATTTCAGGTGTGGTAGTTCTCCCTTTGGAGTCTTATGTAACACCTCCCTCAGGGCTTCCAGAATGGAATTCTGGTCATCTTCAGGAAGCTTATCCTCAGAATAAGTTTCCTTGAAGATAGCTACCTTTATATTGGTCAGAGCACCCTTGTAAGTCCCTAGTCCCTTAGAGTCCCTGGGCCTTTTCAGAGTTCTGGCCGTTTCTGTAGGGGTCTTGCCCTCCAACCTTGGCCTCTTAAAGGTATTGGTGGGGGTTTCTCCCTGCTTGGACGAGCCTACATTTCCTGGTTGCTGACTGCCCCCAATTCCTGTTTTGCTTGCCCCAGCTCTTGCCTTTCTTAACTTCCATCTAGCGCATCCAGGCAGGACTTTCTTTGCTACATGGGGTCAACCTACTCCAGAGACTAGGTGTCCTAATCCTTCACCTGCTGCAAGTGTGCTAGAGGTACTAGCCCCCTGCAGTGGTATATCAGTACTACTGACTCCCAAGAGGGGAGTTTTTGTTTTTACCTCAGGTAGGTTTTGAACCACTGGTTCATCCCTACCTTTGGCTGAAAGTCCAACAGCAGGTTCGCTGGTTGCAATTGGGTCCCTTAGTGATTCGCCAGAGCTTCCAGCCCCGTGCTGAAGCATTTCTCATAGGGATCCCCTTGGAGGGGGGTCCCTCTTCAGTTTAAGGTCCTTACGACCAGTTTTTGATTTGGCTCCTTTATTCATTTCGGTTCCACTAGTCATGGGAATTTGAAAGGTCGCCACCTGCAGCGCCCCATATGGGTGGAATGCATAGATAGAATGGGGTGCTGCCTGGTGCCCTGAGGGGATTGTTCAGGACACTGGCTAATTACCACCCCAGTGCCATGCAGCCCTCAGCACGATGCCTCAGATCTTGGCTTAGGTGATCTGGTCCTATAGTGACTGCAACCCTCACAAGCCTCCAGGACCAAGAGTGCCTGTTTGGGGGGAGAGGGGTCCCAGATGATAAATGGGTGTGCGACACCAGTTAGTCATGAGGTTGCGACGAGGGCAACCTACATCAGAGAGTCGCCCCTGGGGATTGCTTATGAGCTCCCCCATTCCCACCCCTCCACCTGGGTTGGTCAAACTGTGTTAGAGTATTGAGCCCTAAGGCTTGCAGCACCTTATCGGTACTCTAGGGAGACAACTCAAATAGCTGAAGCTACCCCCATCGGAGCGCTCTCCCAGGTACACCGTAGTGATACCCAACAGTCATTATGCCGCCATGTGGGAGGCTCCGGTCACAATGCCATTGCCCTTTATGGGAACTCAGCCACCAGCTCCGGTAGGTCATACTGATCCAGTCACCGAGACTGTTGTTGTTGGACAGCACACCTGCCTTCACCAGGTATCTATAAATTCTGAGACACACTGAAACATAGCATTCCAGTTGGCAAAACCTGCTTCTGAGACTAGTTAAGTGCATTGCCTAATTGACAATCAGTAATTACTTTTGTCTTATTTTGGCGGTTTAAGCCATGCTTCCATATTTTTAGAAGTTATTACACTCAATCTTTTTTCATTCTCAGGTGTAAAGGTAACTAATGAAACACCAAAAGGCTTGAAGAACAACCTTTTGCACTCTTACATGACAAATCCTATTTCTGATCCAACATTCTTCAGTGCATGTTTAAAACTCAGGGAATGGCAGAAGCTACTATACGGTTTGTGCTTCTTCCATGCTGTGATACAGGAGAGACGACAGTTTGGGCCTTTAGGTTGGAACATACCCTATGAATTTAATGAATCTGATCTACAGATCAGTGTCATGCAACTGCAGGTGATGTATAGAACACATATATATAAAATATAATAAAGGATATTCAATATATGACACTACAAACATGATTGGAAAGCAAAATGGCCAAGACTTCTTTGGAAAAACTGCTGATGGGCTTACACCAGCAGAGCAATATCATATAATGAAATATCTGTATAATGAATCTTGTATATTCGGAAATAAATACATCATAGAATCACTGTTGAGTCATGATTATTGTACAAACTGTGGCTATACAGTTTCTATTTGTTTTCTATTAATTACAGCTAATTAGGCCTAATTATCAAACTCCTGTTGCTAAGATACCACTTTTCCAAGTACATTTTAGTGTACAGGATTAGTTAGAATTTTTAGCACTTTTGCTCAAGTCATGTTTGTACATCTGTTTGTGTAGTTCATCTCAAGAACTATCTCTTTGACTGGCGCGAAGGGTATTTAAATCCCACCCCTGTCCTGGCAGGCCCTTTAAACCTTATGTCGCTAAAATGCATGTAGTTACTTTTTCCTAAACAACTTCAACAAAAATCGGTTTTTAAAAACGAAATTTTCAGGAACTAATTAAAATACAATATATTATGCAATAAATTCCTTTCCATACCTCTTTATTAGTTTTTCTTCGTGTGATAAACATTGAAACATGAAAGTTTGCAGAGAGCCACACCACAGCCTGCACACATGATACTTGTTTCTTTTCTAACCTTGTGCTTAGCACTCACGCGACACTTTCTCAGAGCACCAGTCTTCTTATTGTTACTGGGAGGAACATGGACCATTTTGTGAATTTTCAAGCCACCCTCTAGACGATTTACTGGCTCTTTCACTGGTGGCCTTTTCAAGGTCGAGGGCGGAGGCGTGACTGCACTCTAGTCTGACGCAATAAATTCGTCATCCACTTCATTCCTTGACTTTTCTCCCTCTCCACACTGTTTGTTTGGTTCAGTCATTTTTCTACACAGTCCAATATAAAATCTTTGAATCTGTAATTTCTCTTCTTGTATTCTTCCTTTTTTGTGTTCTTTTTGAATAGAATGAAACTATTCAACCGCAAGGACATGTTTTGTCCATACCATGGGTGTGAAATAGGGGCCTAGTGGACAAATATTCTTCAATTTCAGGGCGTTTGTCGATTCCTGTCATGAACACAATTCCTAAGTATGTCCAGATTTCATCTGATGTGACATAATTGTAATTGTGTTTTCGAGAGTGAGGAGCTAACTCATGTGTGTTGAAGTGCTGGTGAGCATAGCGATTGGTTTCAGTTGTGATGTGATTTACCAAGTCGTCATCCAGAAAAAATTTTAATCCATGAAAAGGGATGCATTTTATGTGTTATATCAATTTTGATCCCGAAACTATTAGCAAATGAAAATACTGGGAGTACAATGTCTCCGTAAGTTCATGAGATGGGCGTGTCAGGCACCGCACTCGTGGTAGGTAAATGTTCATGATTACTGTCTTGTGGATCATTGTCTATCACTGTATTATTGTCACTATCAACTTCATCCAATTCAGGAATCATTATTTCATCGCCACTATCATCATCAGAACAAATTTCGTTCACAACATTTTCCAGCTGGTCTGTAGGAACACGAAGACACTTGCTGCAAGAAGACATGGTGAAACTGAATGAATGTGAAATATTTTCTGACCTTTTCCTTCTCAGAGGGTTCTGACAGTAATATAGACCCCCACAAAGTTTACAAGGGTTCTTTACAAACATGCACAAAAACTATCATATATATGTCTTTGGTTGATGAGTGCCAAGAGAGCAAAGAAGGGAAGAGATTGTCAAAGCGTTAAAACACGCCAACGCCAGGCAACGGCTGGCATCGTCCGGGCGTTAAAACACGCCCGCGCCAGTCAAAGAGCTATGTAATAAATTCTGATGGAATTTAGTATTTGTAAACCACACCAAAGGAGAGTCTGAAAGATTCTAATGATGGTGTATAACACTCAGAGTTACTGAGTTTTTGGACTTTTTCCATCACCCGGTATTCAAAACACAGCGTTTCTGTTTACTTCCTCAGGTGAGGGGGAATACACCTATTGTGTCGGGTCCCTTAGAAAGTACTAACCTCATTCACTGGACAACCCATGCCAGTAAAACTACAGCTATATGCATACCTGATACCAGGCTATGTCGAAAGGAGATAACAGGAAAAGATGCAATAAAAATTGCGATAAAGCACATACAGACCTGAAACTAAGAGAGAAAGGAAGGTGCAAATTTGTGCAAGAATTTGTGAAACCATTTTGAGCCTACTGCCATCTGTGGAGTAAAAACTGAAGTTTCGCAACTAAACCTTGTAGAAACCCATAAAGAATCTGTTATATCATACTTATCTTCTCTGTGAGTTGGTAACCTCTTTGATGATGAGGGGTATCATGCAGATAAGAGAAATGTCCAAACTGGGTTGGCTTATTGGTTTGGTGAAGCATTCCATAATGGCTGATTCCTTGTATTTCATATACCTGCTGTTACTTTCAATTTCCAGAGTTCTAGCTTCATCCCAGCCTACCCTATGACCATTTTCATAAGCATGTTGGACTAATTGTCATTTTTCTAGAAAACCCTCTTTGGGCTGTGCCTATGTTCACGGAGCCGCACGGCCAGAGATCTGCCTGTTTTGCCAATGTAGCTTCTGCCACACAGGGAATGCTATAGACGCACTGTGCCGTCTGTTGCAGATCTCTTTCCAGCTAGGTTTTCATGAGTGAACTCCTAAGAGTGTGTTTAGTTTTGAAGATCTTCCTAATGTTACATCAGTTCCCTGTACATTGAAACTTCTCTGAAACACCCTTCACATATGGGATATACACAGAGTCCAGAGGCTTTTCCTCCTTATTCAGATGACTGCTGCCCTTGGAATTAATAACTGAGTCAATGAAATCTTGGGAATAACTGTTGAGGTGAAGATCATGTCTCAGGCTACTAATTTATTAAACAGATCTTGTCATTGTTGGCATATGGTAGAAGCTCTATTATGAACGACTCTGAATTAAACCTCTTTGCACATTCAGCTGATGATTAGATTTGAAGCTGAGATATCAGCCAGCATGGATGGATTTTCTGTAGACTTTGGTGGCCAGTGTTGTCTCTCCTGATGACCAGAACGTCCAGAAAAGAATCACACTCTCTGACTTTCTTTCCTTAGTGAGCTGGGTGGAAGGCCTTAAACTATTGAGGTGGTTGAGGAAATTTTATAACTGCTCTGGGCCAAGAGGCCAGACCATAAATATGTCATCAACATACCAGAGTCATAGAAATGACTTATGTTGTGCCGAGTCAGAGCCAATTTCTCAAAATTGTCCATGTAGTTGTTACTGATAGAAAACCTCCCATAGCCATACCATCTTTCTGTTGGAAGAACTTATCATCCACCTGAAAATGTGTGGTTCTCAAACAAACTTCCAGCAATTCCATGGTGACTTTGACCTGCATGAGTGAGTGTTCTGTCAATGCGTCATCATTATGGAGCTTGTTTCTGATGACTTGTAAGGCTTCATTGACTGGAACATTAGTGAAAAGAGTAACATCATCAAACCTAATGAGGGTATCTAGAGACTGAAGGTTTACGGACTTCAACAGTTGTACAAAGTGGCCGTAATTCTGTACAGAGGATTCCAATTTTTTGGCAAGAGGACTCAGTATCTTTTGGAGAAAACCAGCCAGGGCATAGCAAGGGGAACCAATAGAACTCACTATAGGCTTCAGAGGATTGTCAGGTTTGTGAATCTTTGGAAGAACATATAGATGTAGAGGTTTTCTGATGTATGCAGTCAACTTAGGTTTTAAATCTATAAGAAGAGCAGTTTTGAATTTAGAAATGAATTTCCATACTTTTCTCTCAACCTTAGCTGTAGGATCTTTGGGTAAGTGTTCCTAAATGCCAGAATCCAATAAAGTGTTCAGCCTATTCTTGTATTTGGATTCGTCCAGCACCACCTTGAAATTGCTTTTGTCCACCTGAAGAATTGTAATATCTTTGTTAAGCCTCAAAGATTTCACTTTCAGCTCCTTTTTAGTCATGTTAGGCATGGAATACTTAGACTTCTGTAACGTGGCCCTGATCTTCCACTTGAATCCAATGGCCAGAGTCTGTGGAAGGTTCAAAGCAATGGATTCCACAGCACATGCCATGCTCAATTTGGAGTATGGGTCCATTACTGAAAAGTTCAAACCCATCATAAAGACTCCTTCCTCAGAGTCTGTGAGAATATGTTTGGAAAGAATAAGCATAAAATTCTTAGAATCTGAAGTGAGGGTAGACAAAACTTTGTTCTGTTGATTATTAAGCAGAGAAAACTTACAAATGTGAATCACTTTTTGTTTACTAACGATGTTTCTGAATGAAGATATTCTGTTGGTCAGAATTACTTACAGATTACTTACGAAAATTTTGCCAGTCCATGAACGTTTGCACAACATGAAAGAGGACTTTCTAGAAAGATCAAAATTAACCCAACATGCCTATGATAGGGTCATAGGGTAGACTGGGATGAAGGTATGATTATAGAAATTTAAAGTAGCACCAGGTATAGGAAATAGAAATTGGACGCAATGGCATGCTTAAACAATCCAATCAGACAACCCAGTTTGAATATTTTTCTCCCATCTGGATCCTCCACATCAGCAGTGAGGTTTCCAACTCACAGAGAAGATCAGTATGATGTAACAGATTCTTCATGGGTTTCTATAAGGTTTCAGTTTCTACTCCACAGATGGTAGTAGGCTCAAAATGGTTTCACAAATTCTTGCATAAATTTTCACATCCCCTTCTATATTAGTTTCAGGTCTATGCATGCTTTATCACAATTTTCACTGCATATTTTTCTGTTACCTTTCTTCAACGTAGCCTGGTCTCAGATTCTTATATGACTGTAGTTGTACTGGAATGGGTTGTCCAGTGATTTGAGTTTAGCTCACTACTACACAGAGTAGGTGTATTCCCCATCACCTGAGGAAGAAAACAGATGCCATTTTTGAAACATTGTATTTTGTAGTTTCTAAATATTGGATGATGAGCAAAGTCCAGAAGACCAGTAATTCTGAGTAGACCAGAGGATGTTAGATGACTTTGGTTGTGGCCCATATTAATCCACGTTAACCTCAATTTGACAAGAAATTTGAGCCAAATCTTTAACATCTACAACTTTTATTTCTCATATTTTCAATATTATGTATATTTAATTAAGTGCATGGACAGGATATTCTATGCTTCCATGCAGTCTGTTGTCTTTATTGTCCATCAGCTTTAACAGCAGTATAGTCTAAATGGTATATATAGTGTAATCTAACTAGTATGGTGTAATATCTGTTAGAAATAGGGTTGTGTTCACAGCACGTAACATCAAGATCAGTGCAGAATGCCATACTGCAGAAAATACATTTGGATATTATGTGTATTCAAAACTGGCAGTATACATTTGCACTGTTTATAGTAAATATACATTTTATTATCTATGTAATTGATAATTCAACACAAACAGGAAAGTTTAAGAAAGTTTTGTGACTATATTCATATTAGTTCCCTGCTGTGGTCTTGAAAGTGACCTAAATGCAGTAAAAGTTTTGATATCTGGTACTGGATGATCTGGAAAGCTCTATTATGAAAAAATTGTCTAATTATGAGAATGATTATTAAAAGAGTGAAATAATGATATAATGTAATGATGTAAATAAGGATGTGAAATAAAATTAATTTGTTGTTGGTCTAGTGGTCAGCGTTCCTGGCCACAGATCTAGAGGTCCGGGTTCGATTCCCAGTGCTACCAGATTTTTCGGAAAAGTAGTGGGTCTAGAACGGGGTTCACTTAGCCTCGTGATGATAATTGAGGAGCTATTTCAAGGAAATAGCGGCTCCGGTCTAGAAAACCGAAATTAAAGGTCGTGGGGATTCATTGCCCTGACCACGCAACACCCTCTGTCCACAAAAGTTGGCACTAAACTTCGCCGAGAAGCGGCGGTTGCTCAGTTGGTATAGTTGGCTTGCAGACTGAAATCATGGAGTTTGTGAGTTTGGTCCATGAGGTTGCTAGGTACAGTAAGATACACAGTTGGCATAACATTCTAATAACTGCGAAACTGCACTATTTGGTAACCCCTTGGTCCCAGAGATGTGTGATATCAAACATTTACTCTATTATAAGTTTTAAGGGCAAACTGCATTATTACTCATACTGAAGTTATGTATCTTCAGTTATAAAATATTTCTCAAGTAACAGAATCGCTCATGCATTTAACTGACATTGTGTTCTGATATATTTCTCTGCAGTAGCATTTTCAGAAGTGTCTGAACTTCAGTTAAAGCTAATGGTATTTTTCATATATGTTTGAAGAGCACTGTAATGGTTGTAGGAATATTTTATTTTGCATTACACTTAAAAGTTTTCATATCTTTATCCTTCAATATGGAATAAATGTTACAACGTCTTTCCTTTCATACACAATATCTGAAATTATTTGCATCTTTTCAGATGTTTTTGAATGACTATGATGAAGTTCCCTTTGATGCACTTACATATCTCACAGGGGAATGTAACTACGGAGGTCGAGTAACTGATGACAAGGACAGACGACTTCTGCAATCTCTGCTATCTGTATACTGTAATAAAGATATAGTATACACTCCTAGGTAATTTTTTTCCATATTTAAGTTTATGTGAGTTTCTTCTGGTGATTGCCAGATCAGAAAATTGGTTCCTCCCTAGTTAAATGTTACTATATCTAATCTAATTTTTTTACTGTTTTATACAAATCCTTGCAAAGCTGACACAAAATTAAAGAAATTTGTTTAAATTTTTCAGTGATTATTTGCAATTAGTTAAGGACATTTCCTATTTAAAATTAATGGAATCAGATGAATTCTCAACACTATATAGTCTTGATACTGACAATATCATTAAATAAGTGACTTAAAAAATTATTGTAAATGCAAATACATTGAATCTGCATATACTTTATGAAATAGCTTCAAGATTTCATAAAGTATGTGCATGATAAGAGACATAGATCTGGCTGCTGACCAGCTGCAACGGGCCATCATGTCCTAACATAACAACTGTCCAGCCAAGACCACTTGCTCACCAAGGAAAGCACCTGGTGGAATAAATAGCTGAGTGGTCTGAGAGCCAAAATAAAGAGGCTGTTTAACACAGCTAAAAGACCGGCCAGTGGGATAACTATAAGAAAACCCTGACCTGTTACAACACAGAAATTAGGAAAGTCAAATGGTCTTCATGGAGGAGGTACTGCCAGGAGATTACCATGTACAGGAAGTTCCAAAATCATGAAATTAATGGCAGAACAAATGAACAGGGTCAGTGCTGTTAAGCTTCCTTATGGTCAAACTGGAGTGTGGACTCTAAAAGAATTACGCACAGTTCACTTTCCAGACAAAATGCTGACTGATGATTCACTGCCATCACATCCCTAGAAGAGAACTCCAACAGAGGTTGAGCATTAATATGGTTCCTGCCATAAATACAGGTTCTTATGTTGCTTTCAGGCACAACAGAAAAGATTGTTTGTTATACCTCTTATTTGACCCCTAAAAATCCCAGGTTTCTGAATAGATGCTATGTCTGCTATTCCCTCAGTAAGCTGCTGGCATAGAACTACTGCTTTGCTGGGGTGTAAGTTAATTTGCATAATTTTCATAACACTGGTGTTTTTGCCCCCTCCCTGACTACTTTTTCATTTTGTGGGGGAAGGGTCTGTTTCCATCCCTTCCTCCTTTATTTCTCCTTTCTTGGCAGACTAGTTTCTCTCCGCAAGGGTCCGTGGAACTGTGGGAGCTGGAGTGATGGTCTCTGCTGCCCTCCTCCACTCAGAAATCTCAGTCTGGAAAGGGGTGGCCATACCTTCACCTTCCCCTTCCCCCTCCCCCTCAGAGAATGACTCTTCCTCCTGCTGGGGCTTTGCTTCAGGATCTCTCAGGACCTGAACAGTTTCTTGAGAAAGTCCTGCAAAATTCTATATCTGGTCTCCTTGATAGCTGTGTGGCAGTCCCAGTCCATAAGAAGGATCAGTCTTTGGCCTTTTGACTCAGGTTGCTTGTCGAGGATCCTTCACTGATCAGTATGAAGCCCTGGGTTGAGGTCCTTAATACACTTCAGCAGCTTGTCAGTACTCATGACGACTTTATCCTTTGTCCTGAGAACCACTTTAATAGGCATGAGGAGCTTCCTGGCATCCATAGCCTTCAGCCTGGCCCCAGATCCCAGCCTGTAATTGTCAATGGCCCTAATGAGCCACTGAACAGACTGCTGGTTGGCACATGCATAGATGAGTGCACCTCCATCCAACCTGACGAACCTCAGATATGGTAGTTCTCCTTTCAGAGTCCCATGAAACACCCTTCCCAGTTCATTAAGGATTTGATCCCGGTCATCTTTGATTAGCTTGTCTTCAGGGTTATTCTCCTTGAAGATGTCTGTCTTGATGTTGGTCAGTGCCTCCATATATGCCCCTTGTCCACTAGAGTCCCTGGGCCTTTTTGGAGGTCTGGTCCTTTCCATAAGGGTGCTTTCCTCACAGCTTGGCCTCTTAGACGTCCCGGTCAAGGTTTTTCGCTACTTGCATATGCCTGCATTTCCTGGTTGCTGAGTGTCCCTGGTTCCTGCTTGATTTTTCCTTGCATTCTTTAGCATTTGTCTAGCACATCTAGAGAGTTTTGTCCTTCCTAGATGAAGCCTGCCTACTCTTGAGGCTAGATGTCACAGACTTTTTCCTTCTGCAGTGTGTTGAACTGCTAGCTCCTTGCAGTGGTATGTCGGAACTGCTGACTCCAAGAGAAGGGTCCTTGATGTTACCTTAGGCAGACAGAGATATTGGGTTTTTGGACTTTATCCATCGTCCTGGTTTTTAAGATAACTAAGAGAAACACGACATTTCGGAAACTGGATCTGTTTCCGTCCTCAGGTGAGGGAAAACACCTATTCTGTTGGGTCCCTTAGAAAGCACTAGCCAGTGGGCCAGTGATTGAGGCTAGGTCTTTCTAAGGGACCCAACAGAATAGGTGTTTTCCCTCACCTGAGGACAGAAACAGATCCAGTTTCCGGAACATCATGTTTCTCTTAGTTATCTTAAAAACCAGGACTATGGATAAAGTTCGAAAACCCAATAGCTCTGTGTGTTATACACCATTGTCAGAATCCTATAGTAACTACTTACCTTAGGCAGGTTCCTCACTACCAGTTCATCCCTGCCTTTGACTGAAATCTCAACAGCTGCTTCACTGGTTGCATCAGTGCCCCTTGATGATGCACTCAGGCTCCCAATCCCCTGCTGAAGTTTTTCTTGCAAGAATCTCCTTGGAGGGGAGTACTTTTGTAAGTCCTGTAGACCTGTTACTACTGGTATCCATTGTTGGTCCCATGAGTACTGCAGATCTATGCCCCATATGGGTGGAAGTCATAAATACTGTGGGGTGCTGCCTGGTGCCCCAAGGGATCGTTAACAGTACTGGCTAGATTCCACCCCAGTGCCATTTAGTGCTCACACCTTAGCTTAGGTGGACTATTGCCCTGTTTGCCATATTTTCATATGTTACCGCCCTCCACAAGGAAGACAACAAGATTGGCTTTTGGAAGAGGACTTCAGAATATTTCCCCACCACTGGGACACTGTATTGAGTGGTGCTCTCATCATTTCCACTTCACAGATTTATATGCTTGTCATGTTGTTATTACAGCTTGTAGGATGGCATAATTTTCATACCAAAATTTGAGAATAGCGGTCAATTAAAAAAATGAATGGGACATACACATAGTGAGGAAGGTGGTATCTTAAGCATATTTTATTTTCGTTTAGGAATTAATATAGGCTAAGATTATTACAGATAAACAGTACCAAGCTTCACTTTTTTCTAAGCTCTTTCTTCCTTCTCCCAGAAAATTTTCATATGATTGAACTTGATTCTTTATTAGATATTCAGTTTCACCAAATGGGGAGTACTATATACCAGAAGACAGTGACCAAGAAGGTGCTATATGTTTTATCCAGAACCTACCAGTAGAATCTTCACCTGAAGTGTATGGTTTAAATGAAAATGCAGGCATAACTAAGGATAATAAGGAGACGTTGCAGGTATGCATGACATGCTCTTCTGATTTATTCTTTGATTTTTTATTTTCCATGGTTTTATTTTTCAAGCCCAGTTCATCACTAACATCTGTATTTATTAATAATATGTTGTAAGCATAATGCAATGAACCCCACAGCCCCAAGCCTACACACCACAATAAAACTGCATAAACCAAACACACCCATCAGAATTAGAATTAATTGGAAATAATGCATGACATATGAATTAGCAAAACATTTGACAAAAATGTTACACAACCACCTGTATCTACCATACACATGTAACATTTGCAATTCCAACCACCTAATGACAGATCTACAAACAACCGAACTTAACAGAGATACAAGAATATTCCCCTTAGATATAGAAAATATGTATACCAATGTACCAGAAAGAGACATTATGAACGTAATTAACAATATACTTCAGGACAACTCAGAAGTTCACATGAATATACATAAGAAAATAATGCACACACTGCAAATAATGGTGAAACAGAACTACTTCCAATTTTACCAGCTATCCAATAAACAAAGGAATATAAAGAAATATATGCAGTCCTAAGAACACAACAGATAATGGCATATTTCAGACATGTCAATGACTTACTCATATACAAACTTTTGTCCATGAAGTTTCAAGACTGAGCCCATAAAAAATACAAAATTCAACTTATTAACTAGTGGTTCCCGTCCCCTTGAAAGTAGTTCTCTCTGCAGTCAATACACCATTGCCATCGTTTCAGCAAGTCCTGGAAGCAGCTGGTGAATGCCTCTTTCAGAATGGCTGTGAGCTCCGTTGTCATAGCCGCTTGAATAGCCTCTATATTCACATGTTGCCCTCCTTTTAGCATTTTTTCAGTCATGGAAACAGAAAAAATCACATGGCGAGAGGTCAGAGGAGTATGGGGGATGTTGAAGCACAGTAACGTGTTTAGCGAGAATCTGTTGACACTTAGAGCTGTGTGTGGTCTCGCAGTGTCATGCAACAAAGTCCACTCTCCAGATGACCATAGGTCAGGACAATGATGTCAAAGTGCCTTGCACATGCACCTAAGTATAGAGATGTAAAATTCTTGGTTGGCAGTTTGCCCTTGCGGAACAAAGTTGTTATGAACAATACCCCTGGCATTGAAAAAAATGATTATCAGAGTCTTTGATTTTGATGGTTACCGCCTCACTTTCTTTGGTGCTGGAGAACCCATTGACCGCAATTCAGCATTTTGCCTCTTTGTCTGAGGGTCATACTGGAAACACCATAATTCATCCTTGGCAGTGATACTATTGATGAACGTGGAATGGTTCTGTGTCTCGTGTAACAAATCATCACAAACTGAAGCTCGCACCTCCTTTTGATCCTGAGTGAGGGTGTGTGGGACTAGCCTGGCATTGAGTTTTCATTTACCCAAGTCCTTTTGCAGAATTTATTGCCAGGTCGACTTATTGATATTCAGGGCATCAGGTAACATGCACACTGTAACAGTACAGTCTTCCTGTATCATGGCTCTGATGCGAACCACATTGTCTTCGTTCTAGGAACTCGAAGGCCGGCTTGATCTTTTGTCTTCCTCCACCAACACCCTGCCTGACATGAATCACTTGTGCCACTGAAACACTCATGCCCGAGATAAAGTTTCATCACCATTGGCATCACGCAGAAGCTGCAATGTCTCTGTGGCTGTGTCACCCAGCTTCACACAAAATTTAATGTTAACTCACTGTTCAAATTGAATGTTCATTCTTCTCACAGCACAAATCAGCAAGTGACAATTGACATGGGTTTTCCACTGCACCCTGCCACCTAGCAGAGGTTGAGTGAACTAACGTCAATAACACAGGTGAGCCATAAAATGTCCCATATTTAGAACACCTTTTCCCGGAATTGCAACCATTTCCCTAAACCAAGATATTAATTCAGTCTCGGAGCTTAATGGAGAAAATCAAAATGACCAAATCAAAACAAACACTGAACGAAGTCAGTAACTTACAACCATTCATAAAATTTACTGTAGAGAAAGAACTACAAGAAGATGTTAACTTTTGAATCTCACAATACATTGCAAAAACAAAAAGTTGGAATTTTCAGTACACAGGAAACCCACACAGACCGATATAATACCTAGCAGGTCTTGCCATCCATATGAACATAAACTATCAGGTGTTAGCGGCCAACTAAATCGATAACACACATATCCAATAACAAAAAAAAAAGAAGAAAAAAAAAAAAAAAAAAAAAAAAAAAAAAAAAAAAAAAAAAAAAAAAAAAAAAAGGAGAGAGAGAANAAATCACTACTTCAACCACAAAACAAAGCATACAAACAAACTCCAAGCGCCACACAACAAAATGGGCCACTTTTACGAATTGCGGCAAACCAAAGTTTACCATGCTGGAAGATACGTGGTGTGTTCAAAAAGTATCGAACCTTTGGTTGGCAGAAATACATTTATTGATGGAGGTACAAACCCCTAATCCCCTTCAAAGTAGTCTCCTTGGTAATGCACACACTTCTCCCAACGCTTCCGTCATTGTTGGAAACACTTCTGGAACGCGTCTTTTGGAATGGTGATCGGCTGGGCCATCGCATTCCACATGATGTCTTCACTTGACTCAAATCAGGTTCCTTTCAGCGGCATTTTAAGCTTGAAAAATAGCCAAAGGTCACATGGAGCCATGTTGTGAGAGTAGGGAGCCTGACGAACCACAGGGATGTTGTGTTTGGCAACGGAAGTCTGAATCAGATGTGCAGAATGGGCGGGTGCATTATCATGATGGAGCTGCCAAGTTTTTGCTGCCCACAGATACAGTCATTTGCGCCGCACAGCATCACAAAGGCGATGCAGGACCTCCTGGTAGTATTCCTTTGTGATTGTTTGGCCTTGTGGTGCATACTCATGATGCACAACCCCATGGGAGTCAAAGAAAATGGCCAACATGACCTTGACATTGCTGTGGACCTGCCATGCTTTTTTTGGCCTAGGGGATGTCGGATGTTTCCACTGTGACGAATGCATCTTTGTTTCCTGGTCGTACCCATAAACCCACGACTCATTGCCTGTGATCACGGTGTTCAGAAAGTTGGGGTCACTGTTTGCATTGTCCAGCATGTCCTGTGCGATTTCCAGACGGCGTTGCTTCTGCTCCATTGTTAGCAATTTCGGTACGAATTTCGCGGACACTCTCCTCATGCCCAAATCCTCGGTCAAAATTGAATGTACCGATCCAGTGCTTACCCCTATCTCGTTCGCAATTTCTCGGACTGTGATACGATGGTCCTCCATGACCAATGTCCGCACTTGCTCAATGACATTCTCATTTCGGCTTGTTGAGGGTCTGCCTGAATGCAGTTTGCTGTCCACTGATGTGCAGCTATCTTTGAAGCGGTTGTACCACTCCTTTATCCGTGAGTTGCTCATGGCATAATCCCTGAAAGCCTGTTGAATCTTGCAAATAATTTCCACTTGGGTATTGCACAAGCTTTTGGCAAAATTTGATGCAGTATCGCTGCTCATGTTTGTTCCGTCTTTTTACACCTTACTGGAATCCGACAAACGCTCACTACACGTCCTCACTCATAGGCTGACCGCCAGCGACTGACGCTTTCTGCGGGCGGGAAAAAATTCACGACTGCGCATGAATGTCCCCTCCACATCTCCACCGAAGGGAGCCTCCCGCGCTTCGTTGGTTTATGTGGGAAAAAAGAAGGTTCGATACTTTTTGAACACACCATGATTCATCATGATAACTGCATTGCCCTTCCTAATAGTTGCATATGCAGGTTTTGGGCCGTTCACATGAGGATCATTCAAGCATATCGGTTATGTGCAGGAGGATACATGCAAATGTGTTGTGGCAAGGAATACATGACAATGCAGAAAACTTTGTAAAATCTTGCTGTAATTGTCAGCTGTGGAAGCATCAATCCCTCAAGCACCTAAACTTTATACTCCTTTACCAGCTCAAGCCAAGGATATAATTCCAATTTACTTATGGGCCCTCTGCCTTCTGGTCATCTTTTGTGCTGTGTAGTGTATTATTATTTCTTCAGATTTCTTGAACTGATGGTCATAAAGGAAATATCAGCTGATAAGGTTAAAGACGTTTTGACTGCTGTGATTAATGTTACTTTCTCTCTAGAACATTGGTATCTGATAATGGGCCTTGCTTTATGTTAGAAGCTTTCAAAATGTTCTTATCGGGTCTGAACATGAAACATCATGTAACAACTGCACTTTGGCTGCAGGCAAGTGGGACCATAGAACAGTATTATACTTGTAAATCAAGTTAGGAGGTTGCATATTGCATAAGCTAGTGGTGAGAACTGGAATGTGATTCTCTTTAACGTATTGTGACATGGTGATGGAATAGTTTAAAAAGAGAAGCCATCCACTGCTAGGAAACGGCTCAATAAACACACATGGCAATGGAAAATCTTCATGCCAGTAGAGGAACTGTGTTTTCTGTGTGGTCCATTTTGAAGTAACAGAAGGTAGACTCAGTCAGAGCTGAGGATCAGTTGTGAGATGGTAGAGAGCCAGCAATGACATGAGCACAAAAGCATAAGAAGATATTGGGAGCCACTATCAAACAGTGACTAGTGAAGACACAGCAGACTGAGAAGACTTCATCTTTGCAGCAGTGGTTTGTTAACTATATAGATTAGTGATAGCATTATAATTATTTGTAGTCGCAAGTTAAAAGTGTTCAGTAAATCCAATAACTAACCTTAACCCTGTGTCTAGTCATTAACATGTGACAATATCTACTTACTTAGCAGTGGTTTCTTAATTATAAAGATTAGTGATAGCATTATAATTATTTGTAGTCGCAAGTTAAAAGTGTTCTGTAAATCCAGTAACCAATCTTAACACTGTGTCTAGTCACTAACATGTGACTATCTACTTACTTATGTTCTTACACCTCACTTAGTTATAGATGTTCTCTTTTTACGTATTGACCATGATAAATTGGTCTGACATCATTCAGTAGAAGACTTAAGTAGACATGAATGTATGTGAACTACTTAAATTTTATTATATTATTTTTTTTATCTTATTACAGTTACTTAATGGTGTATTGCTGACACAAACACAAATCACTGGAGGTGGTGGTGTTGATGAGAAAGATGAAATGATCACTGAGCTAGCCACAGATATTCTGGGTAAGGTGCCAAAGCCATTTGATGTCGAAGCTGTTGCAGAACGTTATCCTGCGTTGTATACTGACTCTATGAACACTGTATTGAGACAGGTGAGCTATCCAAATGGCATATTGTATTGTCACTTTCATGCTGTCTCTCCATTTGTTATCTAACCCTCTTTGGTGGCCAACTAATGTTCTCCATCCAAAGTTTTGAGCTTGCTACAGTTCTCACTCAGACATGTTTTATGCATCCAGTATTAGAATGTTTTTAAAGATTACAACTTCCCAATATTGTAGCATGTAGGTTTTTGGGCAACTACCGCGGGATAAGCAAGTATACAAGAGCCGTTGCTGAATAACAGCTTCCCAACTTACATGTTCCCATGGAAACAGTTGAACTACAACAATGAAGAGCAGTGTTTTCTGTGCAGTTCATGCCAAGATGTTATAAGCAGGACAAGTTGGGAGCTGTGGTTATTCATTCAGTGAAGAGAAGAGTAGAAGGCTAACGTGAGATGGCAGATATTTGCCAGCCAGTAAGGATGTAAGCAGAAGACATTGCTAGATTCCATTACCAGGAAACAACCACTGAAATCATAGAAGACTTTATGTGTGCTGCAGTTAGAGTGATCTTTAGAGTGTGTAAACCAGTGAGGCTCTTATTGTTACTCATAGTTACAAGTTGTGTGCATAAGCGTTCAATAAATTGAGTCACTAATCCAAACCCCATCTATAGTCACTCATACATGTGACAATATCTACAGCCTTTACCATAGACTGTTGACTGTTCAGACATTGACTTCAGTCCCTTCAGTTCCTCATAACATTTTATGTTAGCTAGGACACACCAGTTTAAGATCCAAGTGTGATGTAGTATCTATCTAAAACATCTCTGAGGATATGGCATATCTTCAATAGGCAATATTGCAGAAGAAAGTTCTTGTATGTTCAATAGGTCTTCAGTATGGCAACATTGGCTTTCATAATGCATGGAAAAGTTGAAATCCAGTATGGAGGACTTCCACGAAACGTCAGGCAATTCCAGTTGTAAGCCTAGTTTGCATAAGGCCACAAATGGGCTTTCCCATGCATTCCATAAATCCTTATGTTAAAATTCAATAAAGGAGTCTTTCACTGATTTGCATTTCAGTTTTCCTATTCTTAGGCATGCTCAGTAAACTTCAAAGAATACCACTGGTAATATTGTGCACTGCATTATGGCCTATACCTTTTCCAATAAAGTTTTATTGTCCTCCATGATATGTATACAGTTGCCGTCTTATAGTGCACTCAATTTCACCAGTTACTTCACATGTTTCGGCAAAATAGTGCCATCATCAGGTGCCCTAATTACGCTAATCTATTTCATTGCTTGCCTTTATAAAATTATTTAAAAAGTGCGTATTTGTCAACTATAATAAATTTACACATACTAAAACTTGTTAAGATTATTCATCTTATGTGTCATAATTAAAACTTGCGTGTGGTTCTTCCACTATGGGGTTCGTTTTTCTTATATTCTGTGTAAACCGTGTCTTGTGATGTGTGTTCCCTTCTTAGCTGCGAGTAAGTTTTATTGTGTTTATGTTCCAGTCTTAGACATTTTATATTTTTAATGTAATATTTAGGTAATTTAAATTTACAGTACAATAATAAAGTGCAGTTCAGCTGGTAGGTTGTCATACTGAACTTGCCAGAATATTAGGTCCTATTGGGTACTACAATAGCTACTGAAAGTGGTGTCCTTCAACATCACCACATATTTTGCACAGACTTCACAAATTTTGTGATACACATTTAAGTTCGCCCTCCATGATTTCAAGAATGACATTCTGTATTTCGTTCTGTAACACATCTGAAGTGTGTGGGCTCTTTATTTAAATTTCTGTTACAAGTTGTCCCATAGTTATAAATCAAACATATTCAGTTCTAATGAATGCAATTCTGGGGAATGTGATAGCCATAGTCTTCTACTGAGTATTCATTCATGAAACACAGCTCATAGTCTTTATTTTATGCATTCTGTTGTGTGTGGGAACCTCCCTCAGTGAAACGAACGCTACCGAATCAGCTCTCACCATGGCATCTCCAATGTCCATTGATTCACGCACTGCCCAGCGACAAAAGTACAAAGATGCAGACTTCCAACATGTTAGCATCAGTCACTTCAGTCACAGCGATCACAGCTACGCTCACATCAAGAGAACAAGCAACTGCGAGTCTACCAGTAGCAAACACCGACAGCCAACTTTGTCAGCGATCGCCAGTGCTCATCAGGCCAGCCAGCCGTGGCTAGAGCTTCGTAGGCCAGGCAGTCTCGCTGCTACTAGTACACAATAGTCCGCTACTTGAAGAATTTTGCCCGGCATCCCGCTGGCTCGCAATCACCAGGCTGCTTCAAAGAAGCTTCTGCAAAGAAGTACACCGCAACTAGCTCAGGCTAGTCCGCTATGAATGGAGTTCTCGCCGGTAATCATGAGGCACATTCTGCTTCCCTGATCGTCTGTTATATGCATTCTAACAGCAATAAAAATTTGTTATAGTTTTATGTGGTTGTCTTTTCGATCATCGACATTCTGTATCAAATGCTCCAACCATCATTTAACTGTTGCCTTTCTAATATAGCCTTGCAAGTACTTACTCTTGTGAATTAAATTTCTCTTCAAATGGACGTTGAAGCTATAATCATCATCCAGTTGCCTGGGTAGTGTCTTTATCATATTATTCACATCTACTGGTACATTGATGACTTGCACTACAATACCATATCCTCCCATCTTATGTCTCAATCTTCTGATTTGCATAAATGGAAGTGTTGGGGCCACAAGCCTTTCGCTTGTACAATAAAATGGAGACAAATGCATTGGATAAGGAAGGTATGTAAAGCCATCACTACTTGACAGACTAGGTACTTGATCTCTACCTAGTGTTGCTGTACACATAACACATGAGTGAATTCGAAATTTCAGCACCACAGTGCCCCACTCATTATTCCCCTGTGGGAAATGGTGATGTGCTGGACATTGTGGTCCACAAAAATATCAGAGTAACAGATGTCATCGTCTCTGATATTTTGGTATCAGATCACCTACCTATAATATTCCACATACTGGATCATGTTAAAAATAGGAATCTTTCAGAACCTATTGAAAAATTCACAGATTGGGAACGATTTCAAAGCTTCGCCTCTGAGTTAATATCACCTAAAATAGAAATTAAATCATGGGTAGAAGCCAATAAAGCAGCATGTGACTTTGCAACTTCTATTGCTTCAGCATATAGGTTGTCATCAAGTTACACTTTCAGACATAAACAACGATCTCCCTGGTCTAGATCGTTTGTTAAAACATAAAGAGGCTATGGAAATTGTGGCAAGAAATCAGGGATCCAGCATGTAGAACGGCAGTCAACTGGGTCACAAAATCAATCAGGCGAATGACCAGTAAAAAGGCACTTGAATGGTAGGAAACAAAAATAGGTAACGCTGAAGTTACACCTCAGGGTACATGGCCCATTGCGAAATCCCTCTCAAAGAGGGACGGACCAAGGGCACCAACTGTTATTCATGGTGCCTCTGGCCTTAAATTTCATCCTTTCCAAAAAGCCAATGAATGTGCTGACTGTTTGGAAATTCCGTTCACGCCGCATGACCTGTGCGATGAAAACCATGAACAGCAGGTGGAGGCTAGAGTTCAAGCTCTGCTGAAAACCATAGACAACAACTCCCCCTCAAAGGATCAGACCATGTGACATACAAAAATTAATAAAATCCCTGAAATTAAAAAAGGCCTGTGGAATTGACGGCATCCCAAATAAATGCCTCAGGTACCTTCCAAGGCGATCATTGGTTCACGTAACTCATTTATTTAATCATTGTCTTCGGCTCTCTCATTTTCCAAATCCTTGGAAGGAAGCAAAAGTAATAACTTTACCTAAACCCGGTAAAGACCTGAAATTCCCACAAACTTTATCTCCCATCAGCATTCTGTCCACGACAGGAAAAGTATTCAAAAAAATGATTTTGAAATTACTTTGAAAACATATTGTAACGTGCTTTGCGTTCCCGAAGACGCAGTAGAGATCGTTAATTGGTTTATTCAACAATCTACAAATAACGGCTACAATTAATTATCTCACAGTTGCGGGGTTTCACACTTTATAACCCTAAGCGCATTAATCTGTTANGTGAACATCACAACACGACATTGCAATGTATGAGGCTGGCGGACCACATGACCCTTAATTGCAACAATAAAATGTCTACCATGTGGCACTCAGGCTTGATGTATAAGTTATCAAAATTGCAATTCTCAAACAGTTTCACCAAGCTTATGGGTCATTTCTTTCTCAACGTAAATTCAGGGTTTCAGTTGAAGGTGAAATGTGAACTCCAAGGGAAATGCAAGCAAGGATGCCACAAGGCTCGGTCCTGTCCCCTACTCTTTTCAACTTCTATATTAATGATGCCCCCCCCCTCAAACACATGGTATTCACCTGGCCCTCTTTGCAGACAACACCTGTCTATATGCGACAGATCACAAGGAGGGTTTTGTTGTTAGAAAACTCCAGCGCAGTCTCAGCTCAATAGAGACCTGGTGTGAGCGCTGGAATATTAAAATTAATTAAGATAAGACTCAGGGGGGGTCTACTTCTCTCGTAGTCGTCAACCACCTGAGTCTTGTCTTACTCTAAATGGACAAAATATTCCGTTTGTAAATAGTGCAAAAATCTAGGTGTAATCTTCGATAAGAGAGTTAATCATTTCAAGAACCTACATTAATTATCATTAGCGACACTTGACAACATACAAGCTCAGAAGTTAATCATGTCTGCTATTCATTGTAAGAAAGTAAAAAGTACAAGATGGGGTAGCTTCCAGTGGCATCAGCCATATCAGTTTTCTTGAAAATTGATAAATTTTGTTCAGAACTGTAAAAGGAGCACATAGGCATCACGATAATCTTGAAAATCCAGATTTTTTTTCTTAAGGAGGGAAAGTAGACTGAAAAAGAAAATATACCTATAATACACAAACTTAATAATTTGCACAGAGATAATTAGAAACATTTTATATAGTAACAGAAAAGAGTTGAGTTTGTATCAAGATATACTAGCTTCTCTGATATTTATATCTTAATATATACTACAGGACAGCTTTCCATTTTCCTTTTACTTCTTAGGAAGGTAAAAGTACAATTCATAATGTCATTAATGGAATTTACTCTCTACAGTCTCTTAGTAAATTTGTCAGTGACAGGTATATCATGTACCTGCATGACTTTGTTAAACAATCTTTGTCTTTTTGTTTTTAATCCTCATTTTGTCCAGGAGTTAATTCGTTTCAACCAGCTAATTGAAGTCATACGAGAGACACTGATGAATGTGCAGAAAGCTCTGAAAGGGCTGGTTGTTATGTCACCTGAGCTGGAGGAAATTCATAAGAACATTTTGATGGGACAAGTGCCTACTTCTTGGACAAAGAAGTCATATCTTTCCCTCAAACCTCTTGGCAGTTATGTCACTGACTTTCTTTTGAGGTAAGTTGGCATTGATCCTGTAATTTGTAATTCATATTTTTATCTGTAAATCATATAAGTGCCACTGTAATTTTAACACCGTTTCAAAATATGATACATTCAGTAACACTAGACTGTTTCAAAAGTACAAGTTTGTGTTTTCTTGTAAAAGAGCTTTTTAATGAAGTAATAAAAAATGAAACTGTTCAAACTGATTTAATTCATTCAGATAGTGTTTTGAAGTTTATATTTCTAATTAATTGTATGAGATGAAATGAAGTCTTTCACTACATTGAGACTCATACCCATTTAATAATTTTTGGTTTACAAATTGCTGCACCATTTTAAAAAATGCAAGCATTTTAAAGCGTGTTAGTTTCTGAGTGTAAACAAAATTTATTACCTCTTCTTATGTCTACCAGGAATACATATGTGCTCTACCACTTTTAGTGATTCATATGTTGCTGCATACCAAGTGACTTTTGAGACTAATTTTTCTAAAATAAATTAATCTTCCAAGACAGTGTTTATCCTAAAGGATTCAATTTCTTTAGCTGAAAAACATTCTACATTCTTTTAGTAATGCAATTCTACACATAGCTCATTTTGGCTGCTGGTTATTGCTCTTCAAAATTATAGATATAAAAAGTTCAGAATTCCAAATGAACACTTCCATTGTGTGATAGTTGGCGCTATTTAATGTACACGTGTTATTTCAACAGGTTGAAATTCCTACAGGACTGGATAGACCATGGCACACCTGAAGTGTTTTGGTTGTCTGGCTTTTATTTCACCCAGTCATTCCTTACAGGAGTCCTACAGAATTATGCCCGAAAATACAAGATACCCATAGACAATCTTGCTTTTGAATTTGAGATTTTGAATGTAGAAATGGGCATGAAGGATGAACCTTCATTTGATGTTTATTGTAAGGTAAATACCATTATAAAAGACAAGGGAGGAACCATGAATGAATCCCACCCTCAAAATAAATAAATCCATCCTTCTCATCATCATCATCAACAGCAGCAGCAACACCACCACCACCACCATCACCATCCCCATCGTCCTACCAATAACCATTCCTAGTTGACCTGTTATGGGTCAAATTGCAAAATAGAATCTTTCCAAGTTTACATTTTCATTGTGTGCTTACTTTAGTATGTTAAGCATGGCAGAGGACACTCCACTTTAATAAGTTCTGCTGGATTACATGCAGCAGATGGTTAATGTACAGCAAAGGAATTCTTTTAACCTTTAACGTCTGAAGTGCCCTGTTTGTGTCAGTGATGAGTATAGTTGTCATGGCCAAAGTACCCCGTTTTGGCCAGTTGGGCATTTAAACTCCGCTAGTGGAAGCGCGTGCACCCGCCGCTAGTAGAAGTGCATGCACAGTCCTAAATATTTATTTTTATATGTAGTAATTACCAGACAGACTTGAGTAAAACCCTAATAGAGGAATTAAAATGATACCTAAGTGAACAACAGCAAAAAAGAATATATGTATGAGTTATGCCCAAACTCATCCATGAGCCAGTACTTTTATTGCAGATTCTGCAGATTAATGTGTTAAAATATATAGTAAAACTCGATGTACATACCTTTTTTGTTGTTATCTGCTTGATGTATATATAGGCTGAAATAAAACTACGGAATTCGATTTCACTATGAACGCACAGAAAACAGATCACACTCTGTATCTAAGCCACGATACAACTGTCTGTTCATGACCATAGAAAGGGCAGTAATCTCTTGCAGCTATAACGGAAGGTCTTAGCAAGAAGGGACCCCTCTAGCTCTTTTTCTTGAATAGCCATTCTTTCATTCTTCTGCCCTTTAGTCAAAAGATTCGAAAATTTGAAGGGCGTAACAAGATGTAAGGTTTCCCAGCAGAGAACCAAATGATTTTATTGCTTCCATCTGTTTTATGACACCAGGGTCTGCTAAAATTTGTCAAGTGTTACCAACAGAAATGAATTTATAATGCAGAACAACTCTGTAAAGAACTGGGAAAATATTTTTGCAGTACATATCAAAATTAAAAGAAAAAAAATTGAAAAAAAGAGTACAATTCTTTGTACAAAAATTTTCAAATCGTCTGTTATAATATGCAACACTATGTTCTTTGCTGATATGAACAAAGTTAATTCCATCCATTTATCATAAAAATTATGTTAGATACAGCATTTTTAAACACAGTGCTTAAAATTGTTTAAGCATCCTAACAGGAAGGGATATTTAAACGCAGAGTAACAACAGCCATTTAAATAAACTCCAGCCAGCTCAAGCTTACTACCATTTCAAAAGTCTGACATTTAAAGGTTAAAGAATATAAGTCATTGGTGTCAGGATTGCAAGTCATTATGTGGGGACTGTAGAACTGACTGACAAAGATGTCTCCATTTTTCATTATCATGTGATTTATGCCTTTCTTCCAAGTTTTCATGCATGTTACATCTACTTTAAATACTTTCCTACTGTGAAATTTATATACAGTTATGTATTTTTCATGCAGCAGAAGGCTGAATTTGATGTATTTTTTGAGGTGAGATTTCTTTCAAATAAATTATACCAGCATGTATATATGATGATTTATTTCAGTGGACATGAATAATTATGTGTAATATATAGGGCATTTGGTTTTTGTTATTATTCTGAAACAGGAGGCACGTGGTAGTGTAGTTGGTTGAGGGGCTATGTAACAAACAAGCTGGAAGGTCGCGGGTTCAAGTCCGATGAGGTCATTGCAATTTTTCAGTTGACCTAATCCTTCCATTCGCACTAGGCCCTGGGGTTTACTCAGCCTCTAACAGAAATGAGCACCAGGAATTAAGTTAATTAATTGATAATTAATTAAATAATTTCCCTGAATACATTCAGCTACTTCTGTTAGAATATATAAAGTAGGATGAGATGTTAGACCATTACATGTGTTTATAAATTCATTTTTATCACCTTTTAATCTTGGCAGTTTAACCTCTTTTCTTACTGTCACTACTATCACACCATTTACAGCGTAACATATACGCTGTGGCAGTAAGTATTAACACAGAATAATGTGGTCATCACAGTCTTACAGCCTGGTAGTCTGCTACCAACTTGCTTATTAAATTTACTTTAGTCACACACTGCAAGGTAGAGTGAGCTGCAAGATAACTAGGACTACTGGCTGTAGTGTCTCCCAGACAGTCTTCTCCAGTAGCAGGTCCAGGAGAATTTGGGTTGGGGTAGAAGGTAGTGGAACATGACGGGAACATGACACAATCTACGAGGAGTGTTCTGTATATAATGCCTCCTATTTTTTTAAAGAAAACTACAACAGAAACAGAAAGCATAATAATGCAGTTAAACAGAGCAAGATATCAGCTGCTTACAGTTATTTTTCCACATAATCACCACCATTCGTTATGCACTTTTGCCAGCAATGAACAAGAGCCTGTATGCTGTACCTGTAAAAGTCTGCGCCAGCAGAGGCTAGCCACTTTCTTACAGCTGCAATGACAGCATCACTGTCTGGAAGATGTTGCCCACATAGTCCATCTTTCATAAGTCCAAAGAGATGGAAGTCTGAAGGTGCTGAACAGGGGCTATAAGGTGGATGTGGTAGGACAGTCCAACCAAACTTTGCAATGTGCACAGTGGTCGCCAAACTGGTATGGGGTCTAGCGTTATCATGTTGAAAGGCAAAGGTTGTCTGCTTCTCTGGCCTGACTCGGGAAATGTGGGCTTTCAGCTTAGTCAGCATCATCTTGTAGTGTTCAGAATTGACAGTCTCACCAGGCTCCATGAAATCCAACAAAATCACACCCCACCTATCCCAAAAGACCATGAAAATCACTTTCCCTGCCGATGGCTGTGTCTTGAACTTCTTTTTCCTTGGGGAATCTGGATGTCACCACTCCATGGACTGTCTTTTGGATTCCGGCTCATAGTGGTGACACCACGTCTCATCTCCGGTGATGATGCTGTCCAGAAACCTGTCACCTTCAGCCTCAAACTGGTGCAACAGGTCCTGACAGACTTCCATTTGATGAGTTTTATGATCCTGTGTAAGCATCCGCGGGACCCACCTGGAACAAACTTTGCGATAATCCAGCTTCCCCAACATTGTTTCCAATGCATTACAGCTGATATTAAGCTGTGCACACAGTTCCCTGGTCGTTATCTGCCAATCTGTACAGATGAGGCGCTGTTCATTGTGAGGAGTGGCATCTGAGCAGGGATGCCCAGGGCATGGCTTGTCGTGCGCTTCACTTTCACCACTGTTGAAATGCACTACCCACCGCCTCACTGTGCTAACATCCACTGTATTGTCTCCATACACCTTTAGCAAGTGTCGATGGATGTCAATGGGTACAATTTGTTTGGCAGTGAGAAATTCAATAACACATCTCTGTTTCATACGCACTTCTATGTCAGACACCATTTTGGTAGACTGCTCTACTGTCGCTATCTGTCGCACGACAACCAAACTAACAGTACATTGGCGGGAAGGTTCAACCTTTACTACAACACCACCAACATCCATCTCAGACGTTACATATTAACACAAGAAAAAGGAGGCATTATTTACAGAATGCCCTTCGTAGTATAGCTACAAACAAAGATATTATGCTATGCAGTGTCCCAGGAGGAAAGGTCATAGTATCTGTCATTCTAAGCAAAAAAGTGTGTATGTACATGTGTCCTATTCTGAACCGTTTCTGAGATAGAGCTATTTCACTGTAGAGTTCCAAAATTTTTTATAACTAATAGATATTACATACTGTGCCCAATACCAGTATTTATTGTTCAAGTGACAAAGTTGGTGCAGTTAATCTAGTGCAATACAGTTTCAAAAATTCCACCATCAACATGCACTTTTCATGTCCTGTGAGGGGACATGGTGTGTTGCTCACCTGAGTGAAACTTGACATCCATTAGCTCTTACCACTGAATTATATTGTATGCAATTCAGTAGCTTAAGAACATGTTCATTTTGTATTTGCCTGATGATAGCTTTCTAAAAAGCTGGAACATGTAACAAAATACTGTTAAACATCAGCTGTTCTGTTGCATTGTGATGGATTTTATTGAAGAAATTTATCCATTAGCTCTGTCTTGGAAATCTTTCAGAATAGGACACAGGTACATATACACTTTTTGCTTAGAATAACCGATACTATGGCCTCCCAGAATATTGACCTTTCCTCCTGAGAAACTCTGTATACATAATACAAGTATATATGAACTCTACCACTTATTTGCTCTACTAGCTTTCTCCAGTTTAATTCTCAGGTCTGTTCTCAAGCGATTAACTGGCTTATTAATTCCCTTACTTTGGAAAATCTTGAGTATATGTATTATACGTGTATTAGGTCATCAAGATCAAATCGACACCAGCCAAATACCTTGAAGCGCAATATACAATGACAGAGTTAGCAGATATGCTCAGTCTGCTTATACATCTTCTGGTGTAATTTGTCAGATGGTCACAAGGTCCTCAATTTGGCACCAAGCTTGGGTCCTGTGCACTGCCAACCTTTGCCCCTGTCAGGGGAGTTTACTACAGTGACCCCAAAATTCAGTGACAAAATATAAAAAGCAAAGGCCCTGACTTACTGTGTTAATTATTTTTACAACTTCTACTACTGTGTTAGGAGGTTTAAAAGAGAGCAGCATGATTAGTGGCAGTGACCTCGTGATGTAATTGAACTGGTCAGAAATGTTGCAATATATGACTTTTAAATTACAATACTACCGTTCAATCTGTGGCAATGTATAGCTTAATTTTTTCCTTTGTATGGACTTCTAATTTGACTTCTGTACACTGGAAATAGAGTTATAAAATTATGTGCCTTTAAACACTTCTATCATTAATATATATATAGATATGTATTACTTAAATAAGTATTATTCACATTATTTTTGACAGTTTTACTACTTCCAAGCATTGGATATGTATTACTTTGCTGAATGTGATTTTCCATTCCTTATTATTTTCAGGGGCTGTATTTGGAAGGAGCCCGGTGGGATAGACAGCTAAGAGAATTAAATGAATCATTACCCAAAATTCTTTATGATATTGTGCCAATTATTTGGTTGAAACCAGGTGTAAAAGTAAGTACTTGAAAGTCATATGCTATGTATGTAAAAACCATAGGATGCCATATGAGACTGGAAAAGCATATCAGACAAAGCTCCAAAGTGATTAATAAATTTTGAGCAAGTTGGTGCTGTAATGAACTTAATAACACTTGCAATATATATAATCAAATTGTAATTGCAGTGCCATTTTTTGCTTTACTTTGTTTTATATATGATCATTTTATAAGCAGAGTAAGACCTTTTACTTTCCATCCATAATCTTTCTTTACTTGTTTGGTAACTTGGTCTGTTCATGTAACGTATGTCACTCATCCCATTTAGGTACAATCTTATCAAACAGAAAAGGAAATGAATTTTATTCCTGTAAGAGAACAGAAGAAAAAAAGAATGTTTGCTCTTTGGCAGTATTCGCCACAATAAATTTAAAATTTTTCATTTATATGCTTTCAGGTGTTCAGTCATTCTGTGAGAAAGGAAGGGGTCCTAAACATGCATTTGCTTCTTGCTAATAGTCAAATGTGATAAAATGCTGATAGGAGATGATTTAATTCTCAGAATTAAAGTCTAAAATTTGTGAAAATAAATGCAGTAATATAATTCTATTATACATATTCCTTACTATTTGGATATAAATTGGAACATTTCAGGCACAGTTGGCATTGGAGCCCTGTTATCATTGCCCTGTATACAAGACCAGTGCTCGAAGGGAAATCCTGTCAACAACTGGTCATTCTACCAACTTCATTATGTACATGGACTTTCTCACTTCAAGGCCAGAACAACACTGGATAAATCGTGGGGTTGCCAGCCTTTGTCAGCTGGATGACTAATTCATTCATACATTAATTTTATTTAGCATTCATAATTGTTACAGCAGTAACACTTGAACATGTCACATCATTAAATACATCATTCTTGAAATCCTTTTGCCCAAATGCTTAAAGGATTGGAATTTGTCAATAATAAATATGATGTATGTAGGCAATACGCATATTTATATCTTGTAATATTCATATGCACCATATCAGTGCATTTAAACATTTTATAATAAGTATATTATTTCATATTGTAACGTGTTTGGCTACTGAAGACGCCGTTTGTATTAGTAATTGCGTTTATTAACCAGTTACACACACTCTCTTTAGTTACACTCAAATACATGTAATACAGTGCTATTGCTGATTTTCACTCATTCCGTAAGTTAAGGTGCTCTTGGAACGTGCGGCCAATTACGATCACGTTAAAGTACATAAGACATAAATCATATGCGAGACTTCGCAGGACTGTCTCCATTAGCCTCTCGAAGGTCGCTGGAGTGTTTCACAGGCCATAGGGCATGACTATGAACTGCCATAACCCTTGACCTGTCAAAAACGCTGTTTTCGTCTTGTCTGGGTGTACATCGACTTGCCAATAGCTGCTCTTCAGATCAAGAGTGGAAAACCATTTGGCTCCAGCCAGCGTGTCCAGGGTGTAGTGGAAGGCAATCTTTTTTTGTGATGTCATTCAGCTTTCTGTAATCCACACAGAAACAGATTTCCTCATTCTTCTTCCTAACCAAAACGACTGGGGACGACCAGGGGCTGTCCGATTCTTCTATAACCCCTTGCCGTTGCATGTTGTCAGGCATTTCTTTTACATCCACTTGTTTTGCCATGGATACTCTTCTCAGGGGCTGTTGAATTGGTAGGGCGTCTCCCATATCTATGCGGTGATACACTTTGCTAGTCCTCCCATAGTCCTTGTTATCTCCAGCAAAAATGTCAGCGTACTCGGCCAGGAGTTCTTTCAGTTCCTGAAATTCTTCGTTGGTTAGGTGTGACCTGGCCATTATGATTACATCCTCTAATTTTGAGCTTAGGTCTTGGGCCTGGTGCTGCCCCACATCAGGCAGAGTCACCAGTGTGACTGGCTCACAGTGTGCCAGAGGGGATCCTCTCATAAGCTTTTGGTCCCAATGTGTAACATTCAAGACCCTCACTGGAACCTCCTGACAGTCTTGAACCACCGTCCTGGCTATGTAGATTCCTTCAGGTGGATGGACATGCGAGCTTGGTTCTACTAGACCATTTTCTACTCCAAGGGGGTTTTCCATTCTAGCCATCACTATTCCCTCGCACTCTGTGGGTATCATATCCTTGGCCACTACCAGGCCAGAAGGACTGGGTCCCGCTCCCAGGCTCCATAATGATACCTCTTCCTCTGCCAGGCACAGTGTTTGGCACCCTATGTCCACAGATGCATCATAGGCATGCAATATGTCCAGTCCCAAGATTAGCTAATCGGTGATATTCGCAATGAAAACCCACAACCTGAGCGGGCAGCGCCCCAGGGTGAGAGTTAGCAGAACTTCTTTCAAAATGGGTAGGAATTCCCCAGACACAGTCTGCAGCGTGAAACCTGGATTTGGCTGTCTTTCAGGCCATCCAGCGGCGATGTCCGGCCTTCCACCATAATGTATGCTCCAGTATGCACTGTCACCCGGCATGGTTTGTCACAAACTGAGCCCTGGGTGATGAGACAAGTGTCTGTTTTTTTTGTGAAGTAGGTCAGTGCATAATGGGGGGGTCTTAATGCATATGCCAGTGTCTACCCTGTTCTGCCAGCCCTCGCCCATTTCCCGACAGTTGATCACTCCCACTCGTTTCTCTGTTGTTACTTGGTCGCCATTCCGATCTTCTCGGTGATTCCCGTTTGTCTCTTGGTGGCCCACCATCTCGTTTCTGGCGCTGGTTATTCTCTGTTTTTCTTCCATAGGGGCAGTTACTCTCAAAATGGCCTGGTTCTCCACAGGTCCAGCACCCTGATTGTTGTGCTTCTTTTCATCAGGAGGGTGATCAGTTCCCCCAGTACGTTTTGGTGTTATTCTGATGGGGTCTTGCGGCTACTAGTACGGCCTGTAATAGTTCTAGTGCCTGTCTGAAGTCCTCGTTTACTGTCTTTTCTCCTACCAGCAGTAGCTGAATTTTTATATCAGGGTCTTTTACCCTGTATGCAAAAAATTTCCCTGCCTCCCTCCTTATACGGTCTTCAGGCAGAGTGGGGTAGCCTCAATGGGAAAGCTGTTCAATGGCTATAGCAAAGTCTTGCAGGGATTCCCGGCCTTCTGAGTTCTTGTTGTTAACTGATAGCGGTAAGCGGCTGCAAAGTGTTGGTCTTTTTGTCTGACAAAAGAAATCATACAAAAATAAAAGACACTTCATGAAGACTGCATACATATCTGCATAGAGTGAAAAACGTTTCAAATAAAACTCATAGAGAAGTAGGATGCATATTTTATTCATAATATTCTTTCTTCACGAGTCATGTGGTTTTGAGATATTAAACAAGACCTGTTACACTATGCATACATTTTCTAGGCAGTTATCAACAGTGGTGTGAACACACAAGATCACCAGTCAGCAGTGCATTTCCACAGACATGCAAAATTACCAAAGTCTGTTATTCTAGGTAATAATTAAACTAAGCTTCATCCCATTTGAATTTATAGGTCTGCATGTACATAAATGTATATGTAACTGGAATAGGATTTTACATAATAGCATAAATGCTTTTGGAGCTTATCTGAATAAATATTTAAAATATTTCAGTTTACTGCAATAAATAGTTGAAGTTCAACATCAGCATGTTATGCATAATTCCTTCTATTGGGTGCTTGTTAGGTGTACACTATGTATATTGTTACTGTCTGCTGTAGAAAATGAGATCCCAATTCTGTATTAATAAATGAAAATTGCAAATTCTCTTTGGAGATTTATTTTCATCACTCCTTCCATGACTGGTTACAGAAACTGTAGCATTATTATTTCTTTCTGTGAAATGACATTTGATTTTGCAGCATGAAATAATGACTGGAAAATTGATTTTAGAAATCTCTGGCATGCAAGACCTTTTTAAAACCTGGAACAGTGTTTCTAAGTTGATATTTACAAACATTATTCATAGTATTGTCAGTCTTTCCCTGTATATTTCCTTCTTCATTCCCCTGTAAACCATAGCATTTTTCCTCTCCCCCCCCCCAGAAGCATTGTGAAATGAGGATGATGATGACAGCTGTGGAGAATTATACCACTTTTATCAGAAAAAACAATGCTTTATGAGCTTTCTAGATCTACTGTAGACTTTACTGATCAATACTGCATTTAAATCTGACTCATGTATGAGATTCATGATTTTGGATACACAATCCATTAGGTTGTCCATGTTAGGTGGGTCCCTTGTCACCACAGCATGGTGTGTCCTCAGGTTGGAAGAGATGCCCTCCAGGTATGGAGGGTAGATGCGAATATACTGAAAAAGCAGTTGTGGACAGCCAACATGGGTTGGTCCTCCAGCTTGGGGGTTGGGCGTAACGCTTACAACTACTTACCCTAATAAATAGGCTTGTTACGAAAATTTGCAAGAATTCTCGGACCTGGATGGATTCCTTGGATAAACGACCTAAGCCATTAGGAAGGTCCAGGAAAGCCAGGTGGGACTGAAATTAAATGGAACACATCAACTGTTAGTCTATGCTGATGATGTGAATCTACTGGGGGAGAGATACCATAAAGAGAAACACATAAACTTTAACTGACGCTAGTAAGGAGGTTGGTATAGAAATAAACACAAAGAAAACTAAGTATATGTTGCTATCTCATCACCAAAATACAGGGCAAAATCATGACATAAAGATACATAACATGTTTTGAAAATGTGGCACAGTTCAGATATTTGGGAACGACAATAACAAATCAAAACCTGATTCAGGAGGAAATAAGATGAGATTGAATTCAGGTAATGCTTGCTACCATTCAGTTCAGAACTTTTATCTTCTCGTCTGCTGTCTAAAAATATAAAAATTAGAATATGCAAAACTATAATTTTGCCTAGGGTTCTGTATGGGTGTGAAACCTGGTGTCTGACTTTAATGGAGGAACATAGACTGAGGGTGTTTCAGAAGAGGGTGCTGAGGAGAATATTTGGACAGGAGGTTGGAGATATCTGCATAACTTCATAACTTGTACTCTTCTCCAAGTGTAATTAGAATGATCAAGATCTGACACCCAAGTTAGAGTGGGAAAACTCTTGTATCAGTGCTGGAAGACATTCTAGCACATGCTGCCTGTCCAGAGACCTAAAGGTAGCAACTCTATTACTAAGCCAATCTTAGTCTGTCACCTTATTGATCGGTCTTCTATTTACTTTTGAGAAGAACATAAATAGTTCGCTGTGTTTTGAAATTAATGTTGGCTACTTGACTCAAAAGAATTAAAATATTCTGTTAAATCAAATCCTGAAAATTCCAACAAATGGACATGTAAAATAACATTTTCTTTCACATTATGGTTGATCTGAAGAACGAAAATTTGATGTTGAATAACTAGGTGAAAATGGGAAATTAAAACCATTATATGCAAACTTTTCTTGTGTCATGCCACAGGCATATTATTTTATAGAAAGTTTTTCATTCAAATTGTCTATTTCTTTAGTAGTGGCCTGAGATGATCTGTATTCTACAACATATTTTTCTGGATTGTGAACAGCACTGAGTGCACGAATAATGAAGATGCTCCTAGTGAGCGATATCCCCCATTAATTACATACTGAACTGTTTTGTGGTGTACAGATAGTATATAGAAGGAATAACCTACAATTACTTCATGTAATTGTCTTTGCTGTGTAAGAAGAATCTGTTTTAGTATAACGTGACATGTGAATCCATTGCATAGGTAGCAACTCCTAAACAACGTAGACAGACGTTTCCTGCACAACAGAGGTCATTTTCATGACAAGAGAGATAAACATTTATTCTCACAGCAATGGATGGATCGTTTTCGTGACAATGGAGGGTCTAACTGTTCAACTCGGTGTCCCCTAGTCAGTAGGCCAAGCAGTTATGAAACAGTGCATTCATGGGCAGAGAAGTGAGAGGAGAGTTCATAAGACCAGAGGTGCAAGATGCAGACAGCAGTGAGGGATTCAGTATTCAGAAGGAGTTGAACATATGAATTATTTAACTAAGTTTAATTGTGTTGGTAACATCCAATAAACCCAACGATCAAATCTAGAATCCACAATTGTCATGGAACCCCAGACATGTGACAATAAGGTACTTTGTATGTCACAATAACGAAAGTTACAGTAAATTTTTTCTTGGCACTTTTCTCTTGTGTGCATAATAGTTTAATCGGCAACTGAGGTTGCTTATTCCTGGGAAACCAAAAATACATTTATGTACATCACAAAAGTCATGTTGCTAACACACTAGTCCCTTGGCAATGACACATGTATCACAGTTTTCATTTGAAGGGGGGGGGGACCTGTATAAGTAACTTCAGAATCATACCATTCCTTTCCTCAATTCTGGTTTCAGCAACAAATTTATCTCAGCCATGTCTGCCCTCTATCATAATGAAAAAGTACTGGAATTAACTTGTGATCTACTGGGTTGTGACACCTGTAATCTTGTCATCAGTGGATACATATGAGTACATATAACAGGAATATGCTGCCTCCATCTTCAGAATTAAAATACTGTCACATGCATGAGTGACCATAGATGGGTTTTGAATTGCTAATTGGAGTTATTGAAAACTTACACATCATAACTACAAGTAACTATAGTGCTATCACTAATTCACACCTGTCTACTGTGTCTTCAGCAGTTGTGCCTGGTGACAGATCCGAACAATGTCCTCTGTTTCTGTGCTCACGTTCTTACCAGCTGGTGAGTGTTCCAAAACTAACTACACTCTAGATTTGTCCTACTTATAACACCATGGCACAGACTGCACAGAAAACATCTCTCCCAACAGCTCTTCTATTGTTGCGTCATGCAGCTGTTGCACAGACCACGTAGAGAACACAGTTTCCCAGTTAGCCCATTGGTGTGTATTAGGAATCTGTTGCCTAGCAATGGGCGTTATTTACAGTCATTACTTAGTAACGGGTCTGCTACAACATGGATGATGCGGGCTTAGTTTGCTTATATAGACAGATTTCACAGAACCTGCCTATATAACCCAACCAATTCATAACTACCTTACAATTTGCATATGTAATGCAACTGATTCCTTATGCTATACACTTCAGTCCTGAAGATGGAGGCAGCATATTCCTCCAACACACTGGTACCCACCTACAAGACCACACAATATCACAATGTAGAAGTCTACATTCTGAACAGTCACTGCCATAAAGGCTCTGAAGGTATATAAATACTGGAATGCAAGAAAGTGAATGACTTCACAACCAATAGTAGGGTATGGGAGTGTGATTTAAACCCTTCCTCAACTGAGTCCCAAATATTAGGCCCAAGCCTATTCCAGCTTCTTTTTGCAGGATTCTGTATTCTAGAATCCTATATGCTAAAGGGGTAAGAGCTGTAAAACTAAAAGCCAAGTTAAATTAAATCATATAATTAACTGTAACGCAATCTTATATTATTTTTTTTTATTTCTTACTGTACATTACATTTTTCGACCATGAATGCTCATCAGCTAATGTACAAAAATCAATCAAAAATATACAAACTGGAACTACATATCTGTTAAAATGTGAAGATGCATAAAAATGTAGTTAACGTAATAATGAATTAGGTCACATCTGACTTAAAATTACAAAGAGATGAGTATAAAAGTCGCTCAACTCTTCAGATGTGACAAATTAAAAGCAAGTTTCAAATCCATTCCATAATAATGGCATATATCAACTCTGATGCTAAAAATGTCCTAAAAATATATCAGCCAAACAGGCAGGACAATTAAAATCAGTTATAATGAACATATCCATAACATAAAACAAATAAACTCAAAATTTGATGAACATACACTAGATACAGGGGATTCATACTTTGAAGACACCATTCAAGTACTTCACACAATAAAAAAAGACATTACATGAACACCTTACAAAAATATCAGATATATTGCAGCATGTAGACCCGTTGCTACGTAATGGCCCGTACACATGCAGCAGAGGAATGCATCACATACACAGTGACATCACACAACAACAGAAGAACTGTTGCAAGTGGCATTCTATGTGGGTCCGCTCCAAGGCTATGACTCAACTGACCAAGTTCAGTTCAGTTCAGTTCAGTTACTAAGTGCCGTGCAGTTGAGTTCAGTGGAGTGAATTGAGCCAGTTGAGCAACCAATTAGATCACTGCTGCAGTTCATTTGTCGTGAGCCACTGCTGTTAGATGCTGGTAGCTGAGGCACAGGAATAGTTTGAACCCCAAAGTAAGGCAAACATCTGCCATTGGAGACTGCGACCAATAAACAACTAGTGAAGATTGTAACAGACTGAGAACACTAGTTTGTGTGTGATAGTAATTTGTGAAGTGTAGTAATGACTTGTATAAGTGTGCAATAGATCCAGTTACCAATCCAAACCTCATCTACAGTCATTCATACAATTAACAATATATAATGTTTATCAACAAGGAAATTATCTGAATGACATATTCTCTGATATTAAAAATCTTATATATGATGTCATTAACCTGTCAGATATCCACCACCCCCATCTAGTTAAACCACTTGTTGCAATCTGAATGTACCTATAAGTCACATTCTACCTACACTAATACACAGATAATTGCTTTCAAGGACACATCACACCATGGCACCATGTCACTCCTTGCATTCAGAGAGACACATTCTACTACATCCATTAGGAAAATTCTACCTTAGCTTCAATATTAATTTAACTATAATTCATAAAACTTAATACAACATAATTTTTATATCAGTCTTCAAGGACCCACATTATACCACATCCACTAATCAGTCATCCCCTTCAGAGATATTCATTGCAACATATCAGTAGGTAAAGTTCCGCCCTTAACCCCCATATTAATATAACTGTACAACTCAGTAACAATGAGGTGGGCACAGCATGTATTACAAATGGGGGAGAAGAGGAATGCATATAAGATATTGGTGGGAAAGCCAGAAGGAAAGAGACCAATGGGAAGACCAAAGCATAGGTGGGTGGACAATATTAAAATGGATCTTAGAGAGACAGGATGGGATGGATTGATCTGGCTCAGGATAGGGACCTGTGGAGGGCTGTTGTGAACACAGTAATGAACTTTCGGGTTCCATAAAATGCTGGGAAATTCTCGAGTGGCTGCAGATTTGGCTTCTCCTCAAGAAGGGCTCAGCTCCATATGTAAGTAAGTAAGTACAACTCAGTAACACTTGACACTGCTCATATAATTTTTCAGATCTACTCTGACTACTAAAAGATAAATGCTAGAAAGATTATTCCAAGAATCTAATGAAAAATAACTTACAATGTATGTTAATATTTAATTTCGATTAACCCAGAAGATTATATATGGAAAATGAAAGTTTAAATATAAGAATGCAAAGGCCAAGCTGTATAAAAATTCAAACTAAATAGTAAACATATAACTCCATACCTTGAAGAATACTTATATTTAGACAAATGCTGTCATTTTTATATTCACGCCTTTGTAAATTTAAGTCAAGTTCAACCTAATTCTTTATTATTTTAATTACATTCTTATACATCTCCACATTTTAACAAATGTGTACTTCCAATCTACATACATCTGGCTGATTTGTGTACATCACTTGATTATTACTGTTTACAATTGACACATATTATGCACACATGTTGTGTAGAAAAAAAAAGTTATTTTTAATGTAAGTTTGTGTTACAATTAATCCTATGACTTAAAAGCATAAACAAAAAGGGTGCACATTTCTGTTCCCTAAGTTTGCTTTGTTTTAACAGTGAAACTAATTTCCTGCAACACTTTAGCAAAGCTGCAGTAACACTAGCTACTTTGGGAACTAATGTCCACCTAACAAGCTTCACAGCTGCCTGTCAATTCACATTAATTCTCATGATTGCGTGTCTTTTAACCGCAGGATTACTTTCAGTTGCATAATTCATGCCTACAAGGCAAGAGATTTGTGACCTATTCCCATTCCATTTGGCATCAACCAATTCTTATCTTATCAACCTATTTCGTCGGTTACGGTAACGCATATTAAACATGACGTATCCCGAAATGGAAAGCACTTGGGAGGAAATAAATATGTCCCATTTCATGGTCATATCATGCTATTCGCCTACTAGAACGTAAAAAGTCAGTAACACGCCCCAGCCGAAATTAGAACTAAGCACTACTGCCCTCTTTTTCCACCCAATCGTTTGCATTGTTTGAGCACTGCCTAACCAACCGGCCCAAGCTTTTCGGCAAAATCTAAGGGAAAAAATACTCCATTTCTCCTTGAGCTAGTCTATTTGAAAAAAAAAAAACCAGAGAACCTAAATATATTTTATTTGATAGTTTCATGCCTCATTTGCCACTTGTGCGAATAAACTGCAAAAACGAGATCTGCTATATCATTTAGTTCTCACATAAAATGTCATGTGGTATTAAATCTGAGCATTATGTTTACGGTTTTCGCCTGTAAATACGGCATTTCTTTTATCTGACATTGCGAAGTTGAAAATACTGACTAATAACGTCAGTTACACTATTCATACAGTTGCCAAACTATTAAAATCAACGTTTCAATAATTTATCGTATAAGTAACATTTACAACGTTACTTGACACTACGCTCATCTAAATTTTGCAGCTATACTTTGAGCACATGCTTCATATTTTGCATCTCTTTGCAATGGAGACACAACACCGCACAACACGCAGCGCGATCGTCACGTGGTTATGGCCACCCACGTTTTGGATTATGGGTAAACATCCATAGTATCCTAATCGGCTCTCAGGAAGCCATATTCCCCAAGTGATGTCTGAACACTCACGACCGGAGGCGAGTGATGCATGGGCTCTTTTGGCCCTAAAATCAGCCCCAGCTAGTCCATCAAAGCTTCAATGGAGTCCAGAGAGCGACGGAACTGCTATAGCTCGCCTAGAAGGTCGGGAGTTCGAATATATGGTGCGTCAGAAGAGGATTACTATTGGCAGAAACAGTTCTCGAGGCGAGGTCGATGTAAACATGGGACACTCCAGTTTTATTTCGCGAAAACATATTGAAATATTCTTTGAACATCCTCATTTTTATATGTCGTGTAACGGGAAGAATGGTGTTTTTGTTGATGGTGTTTTCCAAAGAAAAGGTGCTCCGTCGTTACAGTTACCGAAAACGTAAGTACTCGCATGTTTTTTGGAAATAGTAAACAACATGAGTCGTACACAGTGTGGGTCGGGCACTTCGATATCTAAAACACGCCGTATTTACCAGCTCGAAGGCCACAAGACTTAGTGAAGACTGCCGCCACCCTCATATATCTGCTGCAGGTAAAGTAGCGGAAAATGTGTACAAATTATGTTATTGTCATCCATTAACAAGATGATATAATCAGTTCAATCATCTTCCAAGAGAAGCAGCAGCGTGAACCGTTACCACAGCCCACACTAGCTGTCAGCAATTAAATTTAACAGAATTAGTATGACAAAGTCAGTGTCATGTATCTCATTTCTGAAATTAATGATTGTTAATTTTCTGCAGTTTGATTTTCTTGAAACTAAACAAGAATAGTTGCTTTAAATATTGAAAATTTTATTGCCAGGTGTACGTTCCGTTTCCCAAGCACCAACATCAGGTTGGTGTTTCAGTCCTTAGTGGATGAGGCCGACCCTCCAGTAACTGTTCGCCAGCCCTCACCTGCAAGGTCAAGAGACCCACTGCCACCTCTTAGGATTAATATTCCTGATCCGGATGTGGGCTTCAACAGCCCTTTTCCATCACCTACAGGCACAATCAGGTAACAGTAACAAATATTTTTACTGTACATCTATGTAGCTGAATTTTATGACCTTCACGTGTTTCTCATCCCCCAAATTCGTGATGTGGAATTATGTAACATTTCAGGGAATTTCCAAAAAGCGTATTTTAATGTCAGAAATTCTACATGCTTGTATTTTAAAATGTACACAATTCTGAAATGATGCAGATGCATATGTTATCGTTTTTTCAGTTTTGTGTGCAATTAGTCTTAGAGAAATGAATACAGTAGTAATCCAAAACTTAGCAGCATCATGCATAATATATCTCATTAAGTTATAAGTTCATTGAAGGACCCATGAAAGTGTTTTTCATTTTTGTGTCCACGGTTTGTCGCTGTGTGTAATTACTTCTGACACTTGCCTGATTATGAAGTTGGTAATGCATCTTTCTTCTGTTTCTGCAAAATGTAATTGATTGCATGATAACTGTCCATTGAATGGTTGTCATTGCAAATTTTGGCATGTAATAAGTATAATTATTAATGCTCTAGGAACTGAAATCCTTTTTGTACACTTAAGTGTTCTGTTATTATAGAATAAGTTTGTGGCTTTGTGTGGGAACCCCATAATCACCATGAAAACATAAGGAGAAAACAGGTTTTAAAGATTAGTGTGTGCCATGTCTCAGAAATTTATATTGCTGTATAGATACTTTTCACTAGTTACACATTGCATCAGCTTTTTCTACAGTCAGGCTGGTCATTGTTAGGCATAAACCATGGGACTGATCAAAAAATTGTAGTTAATACAGTGCCTATGCAGTGGGTCTGAGTTACACAGTAACAATGCATGTGTCAAGATCATACAGTTTTAACAACTGAAGCTAACTCCATGTAGCTGAGTCCATCTTCAGACACTGCCAGTTGTGCAGCTACTCAAGAATTTTCCAACATTCTGTGGAACCCAAAGGTTCATTACCATGTTCACAAGAGCCCTTTACTGGTCCTTATCCTGAACCAGATCAATCCAGTCCATACCATCCCATCCTGTCTTTCCAAGATCAATTTTAATATTATCCTCCCACCTATTTCATGGACTTCCTAGTTGTCTCTTTCCATCTGCCTTTCCCATCAATATTCTATGTGTGATCTGCTTTCCCCCCATTTCTGCCATGTGCCCTGCCTGTCTTATATTCCTTTATATGATCATTCTAATTATAATTAGTGAAGAGAACAAGTTATGAAGCTCCTCATTATGCAGTTTTCTCCAACTTCCCGTCACTTCATCCCTCTTCTGTCCGCAACCTATTCTCAAACACCTTCAGTCTCTGATCCTCACTTGATCTCAGAGACTAAGTTTGACACCCATACAAAACCTTAACAACTGAAAGTATACTTAAATAAACAGATGACAGATATATTTACCATAAACATAGTAACTGATTATTGTATACACTGGAAAAGTTTATTCTGTGTATCATGGGCCTATCAGTGTGAGAAATTATCACTCTAAATACACCAACATGATTTTAAACTGGTTATCTGATTCACTGCATTCCCAAATCTCTTACTGTTCCATGTTTAGTGTTTATTACCTTTCCAGCTCATGGTTTCTCTGAACTGTAGCAGTAGAGAGTAGTTAAATGTAAAAGTTACAGTATCCTTGTGATATCTGTATATTTCATAAGAGATATGAAATCATGAGTTTTTCTGGTGGTACTCTTCATCATTTATGTATAGCATGGAGAAGATCAGTAGTACCTGCCACCTTTCCTTGTCATTTCAGTGACACTTCCTTCCATTCTTCTGTAAGTTTGTGTATATAGGCAACAAAGTAACTTCCAGGAATATCTCATGTTATTTTGAATCTTGCATCTTTCTGGAACTGAGCTTTCTCCCTTGTCACTTTGTGTGTGTGTTTATTTATTTACATACACACATAATACAGTCTTGTGAATACAACACCTTATAGAATGTTAGTTTTTGTTTCATATATATTGTAACAAGTCTTCGGTATATGGGGTTATCATCAGGTTTGTTAAATTGCTGCAGTGTGGTGTAATACTTCATTGTGGGTAAGATGTGAAAGTCTAATGAAGTATTACAATTCAGTGTAGCACTTTAGTGAATCATACATGCCTGATGATGGTTGCATGTGGGAGAAATATGTTATAATATGGTAAACCCTCATTATAATGGACAAAGTATGGCTGTGTACAATTGTAAATTTCTAAAAATGTTGGGGCACTAAGAAATGAAATAAAATAAAAAAGAATCCCAATACACATCCTTTATTTAATCATACTGTGTGTTTTTATGTTCATTTCATTTCATTTCATTTCATTTTTATTTGGCATTCATAATTGCTATAACAGTAACACTCGAACAAGTCACATCATTAAATACATCATTCTTGAAATCGTTTCATGTATTGGCTATGTATCCTATGGGGTACTTCCATGAATACCCCTTTACTCAGTTATAGCGGATATCAGCAATAACATACACCCTTTCCCCCTATTAGTCTGTTATAGTTAGAGTTTACTGTATATATGAAATACAGGGTAATTGGTCAGAACCACTGAGCTTTTGGGTCTTACTTACTCATGGAGCTGAGCCCTTCTGGAGGAGCTGCCAATTCTGCAGCTACTCAAGAATTTCCCAGCATTTTATGGAATCCAAAGATTCATTACCGTGTTCACAAGAGCCCTCCACCGGTCCATATCCTGAGCCAGGTCAATTCAATCAATACCATCCCATCCTATCTCTCTAAGATCCATTTTAATATTGTCCACCCACCTATGCCTTGGTCTTCCCAGTGGTCTCTTTCCTTCTGGCTTTCCCACCTCATCCTCCTTAAATTGATCATTCTAATTATACTTGGAGAAGAGTACAAGTTACAAAGCTCCTCATTATGCAGTTTTTCCAACCTCCTGTCACTTCATCTCTCTTCCGTCCAGATATTCTCCTTAACACAATTTGTACCCTTCACCAAGTATAATTAGAATGATGAAGTCAAGGAAGATGAGATGGACATGTAGCATGTAGCATGAATGGAGGAGAAGAGGAATGCATATAGAATATTGGTGGGAAAGCCAGAAAGAAAGATACCACTAGGAAGACTAAGATGTAGGTGGGTGGATAATATTAAAATGGATCTTAGATGGGATGGTATGGGTTGGATTGATCTGGCTCAGAATAGGGACCAGTGGAGGGCTCTTGTGAGCACAGTAATGAACCTTCAGGTTCCATAAAATCCTGGGAGGTTCTTGAGTGGCCTCACAATTGGCAGCTTCTCAAGAAGTGCTCAGCTCCATGAATGAATGAGTGAGTGAGTGAGTGAGTGAGTGAATACAGAAGATTAAGTGTTGTGTGTGTATGTATGTCTTGTTTGTCCTATCCAAACAACCTACCAACTTTTATTTCCTCCTATAATGTGTTATATTCACTGCTATAACTGTGCATTTAATAAAATGATACTTAGATTGTTGAAAAGATTTTTTTTTTACTTTTATTTTTAGTGATTTAATTGCTGTAGGCAGAAAGAGTACGTGAAGAGTACATCTAATGGTTATGCATTATTCAAGCCATAGGAAATGTAGTTAGCAGGCATTATCTGAAAGTAAATATTGTCATGTGTAGGGGTTATGCGTGACGAAGTGATGGGTTCTAGTTCAGATGATTGGATTGATTAGCACCTTGGTTACACATGCTCTCTTAATTACACTCTAATACAGAACTATCATTGATTTACACACTTTCCAGTTCACCTTTGCACACGCACTAGGATTCTCTCTTGCACTAGTCTTCTCCTAGCAATGGATATCCACACAAACTGTCACTTCAGATCACTACAGATATTACACATGAAATCTTCCAGTCACGCACCAAGTCTTCACACAACGAACTTCCCATGGCTCTCACACACTCAAATACCCCCACATACTCCCAAATACTGACATCTGTTCTGTCTAACTATCATTATATAGCTTCCACACTGACTGCACAGAAAACAGGCTATATTGTCGGAAAGTGTTTACTGAGTGATTGCATAGCAATAGTCGTGGCACGGACTTCATAAAAAGCCAGTTACATTATAGCTCCCACTATTGCAGTTTGACATCATTGCGCCTGTAGGGAAGTCTGTTTACTGGACTGTTGCCTAGAAGCTGGTTGCCTAACCTCGTTCCACTGTTGCCAGCATGTATGTTTACCTGTCTGTTACCCAGCAACGCTCTGGCCATCCACGTTACGATATTCTCCCAATACTTGATGTGATGATCACCAAAGTCACAATTCTACAACATGCATGCATTAATATTAAGCATTTAAGAAAATAACGTCAGGGTATTGTCTGTGGGCACTGATTTCGACAGATATTTCAAACTTGATGACGAACATCCTGCCTGAGGTATCTGATGTCACAGAAAGTTTTGATGGTAATCAGTAACATCATGTGCTGTGAAATATTCACTTGCCAAGAATGTGGTAAATACAAAAAGTGAACATGTCAGCACAGTGCTAATCCCACATTGGAAGTGCTTGGTTCAAATTCCAATCATGGACTGTTGTAGCTTTACCAGGCATATAATGTAGTATGTGAAATAGGTCATTGTCACTTCCTCCTATATATTTCCAGTTCATCATTTGTAATCATCTGGTCACATTCCACGTGAACTTTATCCTCAGCAGTTGGTAGAGCATAGAATAATGAATCAGTTTCCGCCAGTGGCTTCATTTATTGTTATGAAACTATTTTCTTTATTTATTGTGTAATTAATCTTTATTAGCCTTATGTTGAACCATTGTGATATGCATATGTTGAGTCAAGCAGGCCTAGTGCTGCATTTTTCAGTACAAATGCCATAGCCTCTGAGTCATAGCCTGCAGACCAGTGCAGTAATAACGGGGATTTAAATCCTATAACTCATGATAGGAATAATCTCTCTCACAGCCAACGTAATCATCCCTGAAGAAAGGTAACATTTATTTCCAGCTAGGGCAAGTCAGCCTGAAACAATTTGAAAAGTCAACACAACTCTTATTTTTCAGTTTTGTCATTTTTAGGCATTCTGTGCATGAAGGGTGAATGAATGCAAGGTGTGGAGATAGCTCTCAACATGTTTCATCTCATAACTGCTCAATAAATTTGACTTAAATGCAGTGTTGGAGTTCTGAACTTACAAGTTGTCGGAATTTAATTTTTGTGCAGACTTGATGTCAAGATTATAGTATGTTGGGGATGTTATACCAAGTAGGTCAGTATATGGCTGTCACCATTTGTGAGGTACCTATTGCTCCCATCTTCAGAGTGTTAAGTGTGGAACCCAAATTGAACTTCATCAAATTTCTCCAAAACATCTCATTGTACAGAATAATTGATGCATTATAAAATGTGGTTCTCATTAAGCTAACTTTTATGTGAAACATTCTTGGGAAAATGTGTGTTTGTAAGGTCACTATGCTGTGTGCGCATGTGTGTACACGCGTGCATGCCCGAACCCTCATTTCAGCTTTTGAATCAGTTGACCTACTTTCATGAAACCTGTCATGAATGTGCTATTGAAGGTCTCTCCAATGCCATACCTGCAATTTAACAACAACATAGTGGACATGCTAACCCAGAGTGACAATAACAGCACTAAAAGAGTTCTGAAATGATGCACAGTAATATATTCTTGCAAACTATACCGTATTTGTTAAGCCAGTGTCTTTGTATCATGTAAAATAACAACATGGTGTTCATGTAAACATTTTCTTTATCTTTGGGTTTGATGGCAATAACATCTGAACCATTGGAGCTAGGCATGTGAAATATGATGCACAGATAGAGCATAAACATACCTGCACACTGTGTGTGAAATATTGTTGGATAACAAACGCCCATCATGGTTTAGATTTCACACTGGGCTGTAAGTTCTCTCCACCAGCTACCATTATCTTCTTTTCCATCATCCTATCACTGAAGTAAAATGGAAATTCCATCCATTGGGCACTCCCATGTAAAAAGATATGGATACCTAGCCAGGTGGGCAGACACTTAGATGGTTAAAATTCATAACATTAAAGCATCAGCCACAAATACATACACGTGCACACACATGAGTTCAAATTTGGAATCTGTTTTAAAATGGTATGCAGAATTGTACATTATGAACCAAAATAAAGTTTAATAAATCCAGTATCCTGTTGAATTAACAGCTCTTCAGCTTGGGTGAAAATTTCTCATGTGTAGAAGTAGCCAGTGGCAATTGATGTGTACCATAATGCTTAACTTTAACCGAGCCAAATTTCAGAAAAGTTCAGAATTACATAATTTCTCATGTGTAGAAGTAGCCAGTGGCAATTGATGTGTACCATAATGCTTAACTTTAACCGAGCCAAATTTCAGAAAAGTTCAGAATTACATAATTACATGCATTTAGACAGCTGGTATATTCCAACACACTTACCTTTTAACATAATCAGAATCCAGAACAGGTTTGGAATTGCATAGGTATGCACATTTAGACAGTTAAACCTAGGAAGTCCATCATAATTATGTAACTGTCAGCAGTCCAATTGCACATTTATGCCACTTGCTGTGAATTGAAATTCTGCCATCCCTGTATCAGAATCCATAGCCATTAGTAATTAATGCAGTTTAATGTTGAGTGGAGAATGTGGTCAGAAAGCCACCATGGAACTTCATACATTGCAGTATATTCTGGTGTTAATATTTAGACTTCAAGGATTTGCTGTCATTTATTTGCAATATAAAGGAAGAATCAGAGGAATATTATGTTGAATTAGCATAGTCTGGTATGTACCAGAGATAACCAAATTATAATGAAACAAACTCTGCTTCTGGTGGGAAACAGAGCACCTGTGAAGGCAATCTGAAATAAATTAATTTTATTGAGAACATTGTAAATGATGTGGATACAGATGGCAAAATTTTAGATATTTAGACTAAACCTGTTAGGAATGGAATTGATTTTGTCATTGAGATTTCCCTGTTGTCATGAAACTACGGCACCTGTGGTTTCCAGGTGGAGTTTGTGTCTAATTTTAATCTCATGCATTCAATTGGAGATCATGATTCAGTTTAGTAGAGACACTATGTGATACAGCATGCATGAATGTACACATGTCTGATGACTTTTATGTCAGCACTTCTGGGTGTCATTTTGGAGTCACTCCCATTGAGTAATGTCATGAACATGAGTCCCATTTCCAGTGGTTATGGAGCTGTGGGTGTCATGTTATAGTGTCACTGCAAATGCACAAGCAGACATGTACATGTTCAGGTGAAAGACTGTTCACAGCAGTGCTCTAACTAGCAGTTATGAATGGCAGTCAGTTTGTGCGTGTGTGTTCTATCAGACTTACTATGTTGTTGAATGTAAGTAAAGATGCCATGAACATTTTCAGTCTTTTGATTGGTTATATCAGATGAGCTGGTTACACCACGTGGAAAGAATGGACAGAAGCCGCTTACCCAAATTAGCTTTTTAGTATCAACCTTGGAGACATTGGGTTGCTGGAAAACCCATGAGAAGATGAAAAGATTAAGAGCACCTTGAGCTTTAATGGAATAGGCCTTAAGACCAAACCCTTGTTTATGTTCGTGAAGAAGAAGAACAATACATAGATATGTACTTTATATATGGTTTTTGTGAATGCTGTAGTTGAAGAATATTGTTAATGATTTCCAAAATGAAGAATCCCAAGAGTGTCATTTGCTGCACATCTAATGCAACAGGATATGGAAGAGAAAGAAAATGTTATTCAAATGGCACAGTGCATTCAACATGTTAGTAATCAGATAATTTTCACCCTCCTCTTTGTCCGGCATGTGAGAGTCTGGCAAACATGCCATGAAGGATGCTATCCATATCATAGCCAAGAAAATTCAGCACCTTGAACCTGGGAACATAGGTAGGCAGTTGGAGGTGTGCCATTGATTCGATGTGCACCCCACTTTTATTTGCCCATGAGAGAGAGTTTATTAATTTTTCTGTAAATGTATTGTGTGGTGTTGCTGATGAGCACATCATTAGACATACATCTTACAGAAACACCTTAATCAGTTAATGTAATGTTTTGCAAAATGAACTTCCAACCATCTTTGAGGATGTTCTTCTGCAAACACTACTGCATTTATACTTCTAACATGATGGGATACTTCATATTTCATTAGACCGTGTTCTGTGTTGTGTTTTGAGTAACAGGAGCAAAACACAACACAGAACACGATACACAAATGTATGTAGGAAGAATGCTCACATAAAAGAGGATTGGCGTAATTCGTGTGTTTGAGTGCGACATAGGATGAATCCTGAAAAGTTTTGTTATTTAGAATTCATCAACATATATGACGAATACAGATTTTAGTCATTTTAGAATTAGGACATCATGGCATGCAGTACAATAGTTTAACATGCATAAAGACACCTGAGGATGGCACATTAGTGCTGAAACATGTAGTGTGGAAGTGAAGAATAAGGTGAAAAGTGTATACACTGTAAGACGGTTAGCATAAACCATGGACAGAACTGACTAAGCTCTAACCCTGTCCCTTGCTTATAACATCTCAGCACAGACCACACAGAAAACAACACTTCTATTGTTGTGTTTGTGTCTGTTGCTGCCAGAATGTGTGTACCGATCTGTGGCCACGAACGGCCCTGGTATATCCACCCATCTCGCGGTCATTACATTGCAGTAGCTCTACATGCTACATTATCCTAATCATGATCAGCTACATACTCTGTGAAGCATAGTCAGTATAGCTATGGGATAAACGGCTGAGGTTTGATTCTTTGCAGGGTTAAGATTTTAATCTTCCCCATAATGTCCAGGTTTGCTCCAGGGCTAGCACAGCCTTCTGCCCAATGGGTGCCAGGGGATGAAGTGTCCAGTGTGTGAAGCTGACTGCTCACCTCTTATGAAATGCTGAGGTGAAGAATGGTGGAGCTATACCTCCATTGCCCCATATGTCTTCATGGCATATTTCATAGTTAATGAAGCACAAGGACACCTTTACTTTATGGAGCAGAATCTTTCTTGACAAGTTGATGGAATAAACCATACTTAATAAAATTCAAATAAATTCTGAGGTATGTTCTTGTGATGCAGATATAGGTAATCAAATTATATGTTACAGAATATATCAGTTTTGCCTCAGATTTTGTTCCTTGTTTGTCTGTTAACATTTCACACTAGCAGGAGATTAATATGAATACAGACTTCTGTATATTTGTTGTCACATAGTGAAATGGCAATGTGATAACATTACAGTGCTGCCAACTCTTGTCCAGCCAGTCCAAGAGGGGGGCATGGTCATGGCCGGCGCAATGTCACTTCAGACCTGCAAATGGCAGCTGTATATGCAGCAGCTGTTGCTGGAGGAGGAAACAGTGGCCCCCTGCAGTCTGTCATGAGTACCATCACTGTTGCCTCATCAAGCACTGCAGAAGACAGGTTTGTGCTTGATTTGTATTAATTCAGACTTTTGCCTTAATAATAAATTATGTCAGTGGGACCTGTATAGAAGGAAGTGTAATTGAATGGAAAAATAAAATAATATTTATTGTCCTGAGCTCAAAAAGTTGACTAATAACTCTTCTGAACCAAGAACTATACAAATCAGAAAATTAATGTTGCTCCCTGAAGTATGTTTCACTTCATTTTCAAGCCTTTGTTCATATTTTGTAGCGTTCAATCATGTGACATATCTCACATGCAGCGAAACTTTGTTTCTCAAATATGTAATTGAATTAAATCTGTAGTAACTGATGTGCCATGTTCTTACCAGGATACATCTATTTTGTGTAGAAGTTACATTTCATACAAATTTTTATGGGATATTTATTGACAGTTCAGTTATCGAGGCTGCATTGTGTCAGATAGTACGGTGATTAATGAATGGGAAAGGATCTGGAAGAAAGCATGTGTGGCCTAATCAAGGTACTATCTTGCATTTGCCTGGAAGGATGGGGGTAAATCATGAAAAACCTCAGGCAGGATAGCCAATGCCCTAGGCATTATTTGAACCAAACACCTCTGAAGTACAAATCAGAAGCATTATCTCTGGACCAGCCTGTTCAGTACATACACAAATTTCTTTTGTGGCTCATAACCTATAAATGATTATCATTGAAATTAAAATATTTCCCTCTGTGCTTTTATTACAAAAGTTACAACTTGTCTGCATGACAGGATGTGCAAAGAGAAGAGAAAGCTGTTTGATCTGTCATCACCAGACAGACAAGACAGACCAGTATCTGTAGGACTGCATCCTGAACCATTCATGGGTGGGTCATTCCACCTTCTGTACCATTACAGAATGAGCAACAGGGAGTCACAGCACTGCTGCCATGTAATATGCAGTTCATCAGAAATTCATACATTAACTGGAATACCTGCAGTCCAACATGACAGTACCTTCTTAAAAAATTTTCAGAAACAGTGAGGACGTACTGTTACTTGGCCTGTCATATTTATATCCTGTAACTGCATTACAGAGATTTCTTTTCCACTCATTTCTCAGATTTTGAGTCCAAAACAACCCCACATAATACAGAGTTTTGTGCTGTGTTGTGACACCAGACAGTTTTTACATATGCAAAGTATATACAAGATGTAAAACAGTTTCTTTGTCTCTGTGATGTGTGTCTTGTTACTTCTTCAAGTACAGCTTTATTCAGGAAATCTTTGGATTATTGGACAGTGTTACAATGAGGGAAGTGGAAGTACTCACAGGTACACTTTATATGGACTCACAGGGTTACTTCTTGACAGCATTAAAAGGCTGATTTGTATAGTGTTGGAAACTTCTTATCAAGAACAGTTCATGCCATATGAATGTCTGAAATTTAGATGTTATGTCTCCAAGTTCTCATGCTATATTGCATGATTTTTCATATGTAGAAACAGTTTATAATGTCATCATTTTCTGAGTGAGAAGGTTATAGTAGGTTTTAGCTGTAATTTTATTGCAATGATGAATGTATTTCTGCTGAAAAATTATTTTATCCTCTTACCTGCTCTGTTAGATGTTCTAATGGGAGCTGCTTTTACCTGCTTGTAGGCATAGTGGTGCAGCAATGTCTGCATCTGTACCAAGTCCAGATAACCACCAGTCAGGAGCACTGGAGACCAGTAATAGTCACAAGCTCTACCGGACAGGTGGTCCCAATGGAACAGCCACTTCCTGCCCTCCACCATCTGTCTCAGAGCCCTACAGCCCACCAAAGGTAGCCATGAACTGTTCTCAGTCATTTGAAAATTCCAAAATTAGCAAGACCCAGTCTTATATAAAATGACACTCATAGATTCTGTGTTGGTGGTAAGATGTATTTTATATGTTCTTTGCTTAGAATACAGGTATTGATTGCATAATAGAGAAGTAATTTTTGTCTCTGTGCATATTTTCTGCTAACTAGGTTTGAATGAAACTGGTTATACAAGTTGAATCTTCATTCGCATCATCACAGTACCATCCATCCCTGCTTTGCATCAATTTCAAATGAAAATTTATCACTTTTCTCAAAAATGGCTCATCATAAAAAAAAAATCTGAAAAATGTAATTCTTATTAACCTTTTGATGTTGGAGTAGGGATTTTAAATGTCAAGGTCGGCAATCAGACTTCAACTTTGGGGACAGAAGATTTTATGTCTTCTGGTACTGTGGAACAGGCAGACTTTCTCATTGTAAGTGGTAATAATATTGGTTGTGCCGTCTTACGTCTGCTACCACAGTACCGCCACTCTCTGGCACTTTTCGGCTCCGTCTACCCTTCCACAATCGGAGGGGGAAACGTTGCTCCGTCATATGGCTCTCGTGCTGTGCTCGCACGCTCCCTAAGTTAGAGTAAGGGATCCAAGCTAGCAGCGTGGTAAATGTAGTTACAAATGATGGCAATCAATATATTAACCCTTTTACGCGGTCATTTAAATTCCGCGGCCTCGTCTCCGGCGGTAATATATTCAGCCGGCCATTTAAATTTTGCTCGAAAATGATTTATTCATCATTGTTCTTAAATTCTATGAGATAGGAACATNGTATTGAAAAAATATGATCTTAATCCATGTGGACCATCCATGCATGTACACCATTGCAATAATGAAATGCACAATTCTTAATGTCACTCAGTGTTACAGACTTTTAGTAGTATATTGTGTCATAAGAATTCAGTACTTGATTGGAATGTACCTTTCCTCTCTTTTTCTGCTCATTGGGTTTTGCTAGTTTCATACGTGGTGCGTTCTGTATATAATGCCTCCTCTTTTTTTTGTGTTANTTACGCGGTCATTTAAATTCCGCGGCCTCGTCTCCGGCGGTAATATATTCAGCCGGCCATTTAAATTTTGCTCGAAAATGATTTATTCATCATTGTTCTTAAATTCTATGAGATAGGAACATGAAACTTTCACTAAAATGATCTTAAATGGTGGTTTTATAACCTTACCTTATAATATGGGCGCCCTGTATCTCGGCCATGGAAGCAGGTTGTTTAGTATTTCAGCAGTGAATGGTACGCCTTGAAGGATGANGGACAATACAGTGAATGTCAGCACAGTGATTCGGTGGGTAGTGCGTTTCAACAGTGGCGAAAGTGAAGTGCACGACAAGCCACGCCATGGGCGTCCCTGCTCAGCTGCCACTTCTCACAATGAACAGCGCCTCATCCGAACAAATCAGCAGATAACAACCAGGGACTATCAATTCTGAACGCTACAAGACGACACTGACTAAGCTGAAAGCCTGTATTTCCCAAGTCAGGCCAGAGAAGCAGGCAACCTATCGCTTGCAACATTATAACACTAGACCCCATAACAGTTTGGTGACCACCGCGCACATTGCAAAGTTTGGCTGGACTGTCCTACCACGTCCACCTTATAGCCCCGATTTAGCACCTTCAGACTTCCATCTCTTTGGGCCTATGAAAGACGGACTACGTGGGCAACATTTTCCAGACAACGATGCTGTCATTGCAGCTGTAAGAAAGTGGCTAGCCTCTGCTAGCGCAGACTTTTACAAGCGCGACATACAGGCTCTTGTTCATTGATGGCAAAAGTGCATAACGAATGGTGGTGATTATGTGGAAAAAGAGCTGTAAGTAGCTGAAATTTTGCTCTATTTAACTGTGTTATTTTGATTTCTGTATCTGTTGTAGTCTTAAAAAAAATAGGAGGCATTATATATGGAACACCCTTAGTACTTTGTTTATGAAAAATAATGAGTAAAAATCTGTGTAATACAATGTACATTTGTAATATGGTTGAAAACACTACAGAATTTATCTTCTATATTTTCTCTTTTTATGAATGCATATATATGTCTTCTTTATACACATCTTTCAAAGAAATCTGTAGCATGCAGATGTAAATTTATTTCATATTAATTAGTGTTCGCAAATTTTATTTCAGCCTCATGTAGTATGTGAATAATGCAGTGAAATGATTGTGTTCTTGTTTCCAGGATGATTCCAAACCTCCTTATTCATATGCCCAGTTGATTGTACAGGCTATAGCTTCTGCTACAGACAAACAGCTGACCCTGAGTGGCATCTACTCCTATATCACAAAAAACTACCCATACTACAGAACAGCAGACAAGGGGTGGCAGGCATGTACAGTTATTCATAACTCTTTAATGATAGCAGCATGAGGGCTGGAATAGTGAAGTCGAAGCCCACTTTTAACTGTACTACTATTGCTATACTATTTGAAGACTGTTTGCTCTGCTGTACTATTTTACCAAACAAGTCATCTAAGTAATAACAATTTGACTTGTTTTCTGGTAGTGCCTAGTTTGAATCCTGGCTGGGACATGGACTGTCCAAGCTTTTTTTGTTTTTGTTTTTGTATATATGTGTGTGTGCGTGCGTGTGTGTGTGTGTGTGTGTGTGTGGATTCCCTTCAGTCCCTCTAGGCAAAGGCTGGGAAAGTACTTTAAATCAGGCCACAACCGCTACATTTCACATCCCTTCAAGTTCATTATTCACCAGTTATCTTTTAAATTTAAATCAACAAGTCTATATTAACAGAGATTGTAACATAACTGACAAAATCAGCAAGGGGATTCTGGTGTATCAGGACTGATTGAAACGCATCAATGACAATTGAGAAAACTGGTGTTTTTAAATTTTAAATTACATGCAGTGTGACAACTACATAAGTGAAATACACCTGATGATGACCAGTTACGGCCAAAACATGTAGTGCGAAAGAAGAAAGACAAAGAACTACAATAAATTGCTGCATTTACGACGGTACTTATATTATACATATAGAAGTGTAGAGTGCAACAGGATGCTTAAATATAATATAGTAAACACTTATCATTCACCCTGCAGCAAATCACTTTATCACCTGATCTCCCTCAGCTGACATATATTTGGATATTATTAGAGCAGTCAGTCTATTCCCTGCATGAAAATACATTTAAAAGGAACATTGATATCATGGCTTGGAAAGGGATGTGAGCAGAGAAGAAAGAACAAGCTCGTAACTGCAGTGAAGTTATAAGGCCAAGCCTTGTGATTTGTCATGTGTTATGTGCTATTTAAGTAGGAGAAGGACACAGAGACTAGATCAGCTGGTCAAACAATAGTTGAATTCATATACAGGATGTCAAAAAGAAATGTGTACACTTTTTAATATAGGATATTTTCTATGTTATCCAGTACCATGTTTTGTGTTTATGAGGGGACACTGATGTGGTCTACACTTAACAGATGGCATTGCAGTAAAATGTTCAGTGATTTACAGCTATGCAGAATCAGAGAGGATTGTTTATTTTTTGAGCATTGCCTACTAATTTTTAAGTGGTACCGAAAATTCGAGAATGTACTTGAAGTGCAGAGATGGTGAAATCATTTTGAAACCTGGCCTGCAACAGGATTGACACAAGAATTTTGGATAAATTTGGGGCATACAGTATTGAGAAAGATGTGTCAGTAGCAGTGTGGTAGATTGCACACAACAACAAATGAGGACAGTTCTGCTATGGTGTTACATAAATTCACATGATCACTGAAGAAATCTGTAAAGCTGTGTGCCAGTGAGTTTGGAATTGCCAAGGCAAGTATAAACTGGGTTCTGAAAGAAAGCTAAGTGGAAATGCTATATGCCAAGGTTAGTGCATGCAGGGAATGAAGATGGTCCTGATTGCAGATTTGAGTTTTGTGAATGGGTTCATAGGAAAGTGGTTGAGATTCACAGTTTCTGGATGCAATTGTATTGACTGATGAAGTGCAGTGTTATTTATTGAAATGTGTATGCATCTTTTTGGGACATGTTATATATTGGTTGTGAAAGGATTGAGCTTTCTGAGTATCATATCTCCATGGTTTCACTATAATTATACTTATTTTTTTATGTTATACAGAACTCTATTAGGCATAATTTGTCGCTGAACCGATATTTCATCAAGGTGCCAAGGTCACAAGAGGAACCAGGGAAAGGTTCTTTCTGGCGTATTGACCCACAGTCTGAAGCAAAACTTATAGAACAAGCCTTCAGAAGAAGAAGACAAAGAGGTGTTCCTTGTTTTCGAGCCCCATTTGGTCTTTCATCGAGGTAAATAATGCAGTTTGATTTGATATAGTGGTGTAGTAAAAGCATCTGTGTATGTTGACTGAATATTATAAAATTTGTACTAAAGCTTGAAGGTTCTTTGGCTAGATGCTATATCAGAACTGTTAAGTAATCATTGTCTGCATAGCAGGCCTTACTGAAACTTTTATGCCAGAGAATGCAAGACTCTCCTTGTGTTGTCTGAAAAATAGTAATCACCAGTGATTATGTTTTGTTAACATGCTGAACATGTTTGTTACTGTATCAGGAGTGCTCCTGCCTCTCCAAGCCATGTTGGGATGAGTGGACTTATGACACCAGAGTCACTTTCACGGGAAGGTTCACCTACACCCGACTCGTACCCAGACAGCACTATCTCTTCTCCTGTCATTCACGGGACACACCTTGAAGTCAAAACAAGCCAGTCAGCACCTGGTTCACCAGGTCATCCAGGTGAGAAGAGATTATGCCAACATTTATGAATCAGTCGACAAAGAGAAGAAATGCCTATTTCCCTCATCCTCCACCTTCATTCCTTTTCATTTCTCATAATATGTTGCATGTTATTAAGTATAGTTCAAATACAGTCTGTAATTTGTTTATGTTATAAAATGTCTGAAGACTATAAACTACTTGAGATTTGAGGTTTTTGTTGGGGGGCGAAGCTGCTTACTTTGGCCACTGTTCTGTAGGAGACAGTTCACCTAAATAAAGCCTTCCAAGTGTAGACACCCAAAGACTGGGACATTGCTTAAAAAGGGCAACATGGTGCTGCCCCCCCCCCACACACACTCACTGGTCCTACAGTCCCATTGGGCCCTGGCCTCTGATTTTCAGTTTCATGATCATTTTACAGACAGTAGTATTCCTTGGACGAGTGATCTGCTCATCGCAAGGCCTCTACCTAAACACAGGACAACACAAACACAGAATTAACACATACACATACCAAACATCCATGCCTTGTGTGGGATTCGAACCCAAAAATCCTGGCTTCCGAGCAAGCAAAGACAGTACACGCCTTAGACTGCTCGGCTATCGTGACCAGAGGTGCAATAAATTCATGTTCAGTGTTCACATTTTAGATAAGATTTGTGTGTCCTAAATTCAGAAGAATCTTAAATTGGGAAAATATGTAGGTAAGTCACTAAATAAGTTACAAATGGATATAGAACTTAAACAAATAAGAGTACTGATTTGAAAAATGCTTTTATTTCTCAACATAATCTCCCTGTACATTGAAGCACTTGTCCCATTGTTTCACAAGCCCCTCAAAACCAGCAGCATAAAATTCTTTGGGCTGCTGTTGGAACCAGGCATGTTCACCCCATAATGCATGACAGGTTAGGTTTTCACAAAGTCTGTGCATGATGGGTGCCGCGCATGCTGACCCCACAACGCAAAATGCAAAGAATGGGTCTGGCATTACAGCATCTCAATAGCTACCACAATAAAGGACACAATATGCTAGCCCGAATTGTCACAGATGACTTCGGTTTGCCATTACCAGCCCGAGACAAAGCGTGCATCAGTGTAGTGGAAACATCCTGTGTCGCCCACCAAAAAAAAAGTTTAAGGTGACCCCATCCTCCAGGAAAGTGATTCTCACAGTCTTCTGGGATCACGAAGGCATACTGCTCACCGCATTCCAGCCTCAAGGTTACGCAGGATGTTTCCACTGCATTGATGCGCGCTTTGTCTCGAGCTGGTAATGGTGAACCCAAGACTCATCACCTGTGACAATTTGGGCCACCATATTGTGTCCATCATGGTAGCGACTGAGATGCTGTAATGCGAGACCCACTCTTTGCATTTTGTGTTGTGGGTTCAGAATGTGCGGCACCCATCGTGCACAGACTTTGTGAAAACCTAACCTGTCATGCACTATGAGGTAGGCCATGCCATGTGAACATGNAATATGCTAGCCCGAATTGTCACAGATGACTTCGGTTTGCCATTACCAGCCCGAGACAAAGCGTGCATCAGTGTAGTGGAAACATCCTGTGTCGCCCACCAAAAAAAAAGTTTAAGGTGACCCCATCCTCCAGGAAAGTGATTCTCACAGTCTTCTGGGATCACGAAGGCATACTGCTCACCGCATTCCAGCCTCAAGGTTACGCAGGATGTTTCCACTGCATTGATGCGCGCTTTGTCTCGAGCTGGTAATGGTGAACCCAAGACTCATCACCTGTGACAATTTGGGCCACCATATTGTGTCCATCATGGTAGCGACTGAGATGCTGTAATGCGAGACCCACTCTTTGCATTTTGTGTTGTGGGTTCAGAATGTGCGGCACCCATCGTGCACAGACTTTGTGAAAACCTAACCTGTCATGCACTATGAGGTAGGCCATGCCATGTGAACATGCCTGGTTCCAACAGCAGCCCAAAGAATTTTATGCTGCTGGGTTTGAGGGCCTTGTGAAACTATGGGACAAGTGCCTCAATGTACAGGGAGATTATGTTGAGAAATAAAAGCATATTTCAAATCAGNGGAATTTAAATGACCACGTCAAAGGGTTAAGTTTTGTATCCATGTTTAACTAACTTATTCACTTACCCTTGTATATAACTGAAACAGAAAATGAAAACTCCATTATTAATTACAGATGTTTTATTTGATAAAATGATGAACTGTATATTGTATAGGGCTGGGAACAACAGAAAATATGTGATGTGCCTGATTGCTGCAAGCAAGAACAGTCTTTGTTTTTTTAGTTTGTAGGCAGATACAGAAAGAACAGAAATAAATATAGGTTTTACAAGATATTAATTCATATCAGCATTGTACAAAAAAATTCATGTATGTATACCAGGAATATAATTTTTTTAAATAGTCCAAAACAAATTTCTGCTTTGCTGCATGCATCTGTGAGATAAACAGAATCTCCCTTTCCAGATGATCCAGTCAAACAGGCTTGCATCAAATATGAATGAGCCCATGTACCTTCACATAGCCTCAGAGCTGGCAAATGCCTCTCTGAGTGTAGGAATTTGTATTTCCTCTTCCACTTCTTCACTAGCTGTGCTCTTTTCAACAGTGTCACATATTTCATCAGTGCTCAGTCTTTCTGCCATCATACATGTTATCACAGTTTGCGTAGTCTGTGAATTGAATGTCTGAATTTGAAGGAAGTTTCTTCCAGTCTTCTTCTCCAACTTCATCTTCATCTTTTTGTTTAAGATAATGATGAACCCTACTTTTCTGAAGCAGTTTGATATTGTATTGTCTTTGCTGTCTGCTAGGAAGCCATTATCACATGGATTGCTTGTGTGATATTCAGTTATAGCCGATCCTTTCTCTGTGACAGCAGTTGGACTCTGAACTAATGCTTCTGTGCCCTTAGGCACATCGTTGTTTTTGTTATTAGTTTCCTTCGTAGAATTCTTCCATTGTATCTTTCTTGGCAGCTATTTCACTTTAATGTATAATGTATATTAGCATAATTTTATCTTTCTGCTATCTTTATATGTTCAGATGTTAATTTTCTTGTACTTATGTATTTTTATATTGTTTTCTTTGTTGTGCATGTTTTTTGTGCTGTCATCCCTTCTACTGACCCTAGTGCAGATGCTCTCACTTAAATATCGTTCTAGGTAGTGTATGTACTGCTACCTATCACAGATTTCACGTACTGTTTGAAATATTGGGTTATGTGCTTAGATGTGTATTTCATTCATGTGCCTAAGGACAAAGAAGACAAAGTGTACAGTGCAATGGTCTCCCCAGTAACAAAAAATGTTGCCTGATGATGGTCCATGTGTGGCCAAAACATGTTGCAACAAGGAATGAATGTATAAGTTTAATGACATTTTAAAATATTGAACAAGCACTTTTATTGTATTAGTGTCTTTTATATAAGGTTATTGTTGCATTATGGAAGGTATACTTATGATCCAAAAAAGTTCCTTCCTTGTTGTGTGTCTATCTATTGCCATGGAAACCAACTGTCACATGTTGTTTACCAGCCATTGCATAGCGGCAGATGGCTTCTCTTGTTAAACTATGCCATCATCATGTCACAGTATTTTGGAGGTGCAAAGGTTATTTGGAAAGTAAAGGTAAAGTCCAGAAAATATTTGCAAAGTTTTTTTTTAATCACTTGTAGCATGTAGTTACTATAGGATTCTGACGATGGTGTATAACACACTGATATATTGGGTTTTTGGACTTTATCCATCGTCCTGGTTTTTAAGATAACTAAACCAGGATGATGGATAAAGTCCAAAAACCCAATATATCAGTGCACTTGTAGCATATATAGCACATAAGGCTAACAGCTTATATATATAATTATGAAATCCTTAATTTATTTGTAGTCTTATGGGTTACTCATTGTGTTATTTGTTTTTAATGCAGGAGTGACATTTGTTACAAGTGGACTAGTAGGTCAGCACCAACAGATGGCACTGGTAAGCAAGTCTCGACTCATGCTACCTGCACAGCAGATCACTGTGGTGACCAATGGTGTTGGTGGAGAAGTGGCGTGTGAAGGTGAAAAGAATGTTTAGGTGTATTGTGTTATTTTTAGTTGATAAATGACTGATTTTCCCTGCTTGAGCTTTCTTGATATGCTATATGTATTTATCTGCAACAAGGATTTATCATATGCAGATAACAGGTATAGCTGAGGGAAGTGTTAACCTGTTAACCATACTCAGCTCTTTGCTCTTCCTAATATACTCGAGCATAGAGAAATTAGAAAGGCCTTGTCCATTTTGACATGGCAGAGTCCCATTTAAAATGTAAATATATGTAGAAAAACTGGACTGGTTTTACCACATACTAGTGTTTAAAGTGGAGTGGTCAAAGGTTAAACCATCTTGTTATTTAAAATAGCACTTAGACCCATATATTTCGTTTTCCAAAAGTGTTTATTTTATATAATGATTTGAAATTGAAAGAAGTTGAACACTTTCATTTGAAATTTCAAGGACACTGCCACCTAAAATGACACCTTTTCAAACTGGGATTGACAGACAATCTCACTTGTGAAAGGTGCCTGAAAGCAGATGAATCAGCCACACATTCTGTGTGATTGTGAGGCCATAGCTCATTTAAGACTTTGTCACCCAGGTCACTTCTTTATGGAACCAGGTGACTACTGTGACACACCCATAAATAAAGCCCAGCATTTCATTCAAAGTGTAGGATTTAATGAGGGGCTAATTAAAGGGGAAACACAATAGGTCATGGTGCAGGAGCCAGATTGTGGCCCACCCCCACATACACAAATAGATTCATGCATGCGCGCGCACAGAAATTTCAAGAATCTGCGTTTGACATAAAAATGAATTGCATACTTTTTTAATGATATCGTAAATTTGCAGTCCTTTGTCCCTCCAAAAAAATGCTGTCGTATCTGAAAAGTTGCTACAGCCACTTCCTTTCGCATCTTTTTTGTTTTATCATTCATTCATCTTCTCAATTGATGATGTATAGCCTGCGCAGTTGAGAAGGTGTTGTTAAATAAACCTGGAAGCAACTACTTCAGAATTTATTAAAATAATACAAAAAATATATTATAACAAGCCTGATGAGGTTTCCATTGTTAATTGTAAATATTGTAGAATAGGCAGGAATCAACTAATGATGGCTCAGTTCACCATTCAGATAGAAATTTTACCTCCCAGACATTGTTCCACATGAGAAATCATGCCTACCTGCACTCTTGTAATTGCTTTACTCCACCCTACTTGTCAGCTATCACATAATATACAAGACATACAAAAATAGGTATATTTTCCCCTATATTATGCTGCAAAATATATATACAAGATATAATTCACTGTTCATATTTGCTGTTTGAAGTCTGCAGAGAAATCAGAAAGGTTGTAAGAGTTAATGCTAATGAATAATAAAGACTTTTACACTTGTCACCTTCATTTCTTTATTTGTCACAGATGAGCAGATGAATGGATATTTTGAGCTCTGAGAAAAGGATTTGAGAGAAAGTAGTCATGCTTATTTTGTAATACTGTTAGTTTTCCTTGGGAGTGATATGACAATTTTTTTTTACAGATGTTTATATGAGCATACAATGTAATGCATTCACATAACTACTGTAAGGAGAATCAGATATAATCTCATACAATGTGGTATGTTTACAGAAAAGTACCTGGTACCAAACAGTGCAACTACCCTTGTTAGCGTAGCTGAAGAACGATCGTTATCTCCAGCTTCATATTCTCAGGCACCTGTAATAGTCCAGGCTGCTTACACAAACTATAGGTAAGTACTAGAACTTTCTCTGCTCTCTCTCCAAAACATTGATTTCCTGGTCCACATTGATGCTGCTAATTGCAGGAGACAGTTTAGTGCATTTTGTAGTGGATGAAGTGGCACTGGAGCAGATTTTCCCCTGAGTTTTTAATACATTTAAGCACAAAATTACAGTGCACTCTTTGTTCACAAATATTATGTAAAATAATAGCAGTAAACAAATGAATTGCATTGTGCTTACTGTATCTTCCAAGTGTTGTGACCACAATCTGCCATATGTTTCATTCTAACATTTTTAGAGTCTTGATAATTACTAACAGTTTTACTTGTTTATCCATCTGCTCCTGTAAACCAGGGAGGAAAAGCAATGCTGGACAATACTAGGAGCTTGTGTTAAACAACAAAGCTTGATGGTTGTGGTGAGACTGCTCCAGGAGCAGTCTGACCACACTTTCTAACAGTTGGTAGTCAGCTATCGCTGCTGGGCAGTTGGAATGAAACCACTTAACAATACACATATACTGTACTTGAGCAGGCACCAACTGGCCACCACTACAGTGGAGCGTGGCAGTCACCAGCTTCATCAAAACCATACCTTACAAAGCTATGTTGTATGAGAAAAGTTTTGTCATTATCTTTACAGATTATCCTTTTATGTAATTTTTTCATTCAAGTAGTTAATCTTCCTCATAATCAATAACCATCTGGGAGGTGAGTAGTCCATATTGGGCTGTCAGCTCTGTGCCTCTAAACTTGCACCTATTGATTTCAAAGCCTTTGAGGGTCCCTCCTCTTCCTTACAAGGCAACATTGTTTCACCATATCTGACTGCTGTTACTTAGGCTAGCTTGAGGGATGACAGTGGATTGCCAGGAGAAATTATGTTCATGAGATGCCAGAGTGCAGATAACCAGAAATGCTTTTATCTATACACCTCAAGGAAAACAGGAATTATACAAGGAAGGAGAAGAAGAAAAAGTAATGTCACTTCATGCCTCATAAAACTGTAGGCCGCAAATATCGTACTATGACATGATGCTGAAAATGTGGAATAGTGGAAGTGTCACAGAGGTGCATGTTGCTAGGTAATGGCTTCTTAAAAGATGTTTCCACTGCAACAAGCCAACATAAAGTAGCATGCCAGAATGAGTGACAGTAGGCTCCATTAGAGAGAACTTGTCATTTCAGCAAGGAACCATACAAGAGTGTTATAATAGACTGGAATGATCGTGAATACTTGTGAACTATATAATTTTTTTGTAAATAAGATATTCGTTTTTTAACCCTTGGGTTCCATAAAATGCTGGGATATTCTTGAGTAGCTGCAGAATTGGCAGCTCCACGAGCAAGTAGGTAAGATGATTCGGTGTCCAGTAAATCCACTCACTAATCCGAAAACCCCCGTATATTGACTTATCACGTGAAAACTGGTGTCAGAAGTGGGATTATTGGATTGGGTTGCTGGGCAGTCAAATGTGTTGGAAAATATCAGCAAAGAAGTATAGTATGTAAACAGTGAGATTCAAGGGACAAGACTAGACTTGTCAGTGATAAGGGCATCTGCCAATAACCAGGCTCAGAGCCTCATCAGCTGACAAGAGATCCATGGGACACAGCTTGACATACAAGTAACAAAGATGCTGGTAGAAGGCACGTGGTGGGATCTTGAGACAAAATTGGTCGACATGACCCAAATGGGTCATGGATAAGCTGGGAAGACAGTAACTGATGCAGTTAGGGTAAAGCTGCCTAGGCTTGATCCTGTGTCCTGGATTGTGTTGCTCTGCCAATGCAATCTAGTTGCAGGGCACAAAAACTGTGCAGCCCAATGGAAAGCCTACTCACAATTGTTCACGGTCAGGCTGCTCACAATAAGTGCTATCTCTGCAGAAGCAGCATATTAAGAGATCATTGAAGGGTTGTAAGTATTGTTTTGGCATGTATTTTATTACCATATTTACTGCTGAGACCCTACTATGTGCCAAGTGCCTTTACTTAAATGTGAAGGTGAAAGACTTTGAAAGTCAGCTTATTTTTATTTAATTTGTAAAAGAAATCCGTTAAGAAGTTCCAGTCATTTGCAAAGAAATAGTTATATGAAGATCCATATCTCTTTATGCTCTGAAAATTTTATGATATTCTCTGGCGGTGCTATAAAGAAAATGGCAGTTATGAGAGTGAATATTGTGACATGACACCAGAAAGGTGAAATAATGGAACAAAAAGAAATTGTCCATTGTAAAGCAGTGGCTGGGCAAACATGTTTCCACAATGGATAAACACATAACAGTAGAAGAACTGACAGAGATGGTATTTTCTGTGTGGTCTGACCCGAGTCTAAGTAATGAGCACAAATGAGATGAGTTAGTTGATCGTAGACAACTGGGGCAATACGTTAGGAGACAGGCACCTGCCAGTAAGATATGAGCACAGAAGCAGAGAACATTGTTGGAATCCATTTTGAGGCAACAACTGACATAGCAACCTGAGAAGATTTAGCATGTGCTGTAGTAAGAAATGAAAGGTAAAGGGGTAAAGTTGTCCCTGAGTTTAACTAATTAAGCACTACATCATGAAGATGTATAGGAGAGTAGATGTATTGATACACATTTTCTTGACCTTGGCACTAGTTGGAGGTGAGTGGTCAGGTTCATGCGCTCCGGTCGCTTTACTCCCCCCCCCCAGGGAAAGAGCCCCTGGTACACATTTGATAGGTGGCTGGATGGACCCCAGAGCCAGTCTGGATGACATGGAGAAGTGAAAATTCTTGTCCCCACCAGGACTTGAACTCTGACCCTTTGGTCATGCAGCCCGTGACCAGTCGCTATATTGACTGCGCTCTCCCGGCTGTATAGTGAGAAGTAGAGTGCATGAATTCGTAAGAGCATTATAATTACATGTGGTTACAATTTACAGGTGTTCAGTAAATCCAGTTATGAGTCCAAACCACATGTATACTCACTAACATGTGACAGTATATACAGATATCATACAGGTTGTTTAATGATTGCAACAGCTAAGTCACATGACATCTGTGTGTTACTAAGTCACAATGTTCAGTTATTTCAGAATTAATTAATTATTAATATATTATCATGTGTATCCTGGTAACGTGACAGTTCCAGATTTGATAACTTGATTTATTGGATAAGTTCACATGTCGTAACTACAATTCATTATTATGCTTCAAATTATTGGCAAAACAATAACGGATAAAGTAAAGACTTCAACGCTTCAATTCTGCTGCACTGTAGCACACATAAAATCTTGAAGTCACACATTAAATCCTCACAGGCCGACCTCCTATATTCTTCTCTCATCCTGGTTTCAATTCGCATGCCTCCACTATTACTATTTCTCTCTCGTTAATCTTAACAGAACTTCACTGAACTGTTACACACACTCACTTATATCGCCGATGGACTGACAGCACACAACCGTAAACAAATGTTGCATTATCGCTACCCACTGCTGTAGTGTGACGTCACAGCACGCTTTGCATAGCAACGGTCCGTCTGCAGGCATAGAAAACACTTACTGTACTGTTGGTCATGTGTGTTGTGGGCGTTATCTAGCAACAGGTCTACATGACGCGTTGTTTCCTCCTTAAGGTTGTTCGTCCTAAATAGCTTAACAGTGTATCACCTGTTCTTCTTTTTTGAAGGTTCCTATTCATGGCATCTTCTTGTGCTTCAGTCTTTCCTGTGGTGATCACTCTCCAACTGCTTCCACCGCTCCCTTCTGAAGGTTGCTCATCCTGAGCAGCTCCCTGATAAGGTGCCAGCCGATCCAGGTGTACTACCTGACCTAGGGTTCCTCTGAATCCTGTATACCACATCATTTATCCAGCTGACTACCTTGTATGGACCTTCCCATGAGTATTGAAGAAGTTTGGGCCATTTCCCCTTTGTGCAGGTTGGGCAGTAGAGCCACACTCTATCACCTTTGTGGTAACCTGTTGGCTAATTTCATCCACCACTAGCCAGCTCTCATTTCTTGTTTGATTTCTTCTCTGTCTGTTTTTCTGTCAGCCTTTATTCCTTTTTTGGTTGTCTATCTTGGCCATCATCTCCTTGTGGATGGTGTCTGCCTTTTCCTGGTTGGTTTCCACGTCCTCTCACATAGCTTTTGTATTGGCATCCATTCTTGCCAGCAGGTGTTCCATTGTTTGTTCCATCTCCATAATGAGTGATTACTACTTGATGCAGTCAGAAATCCAATAATTCATTAAATCTGATCCCTTCTAACACCATTTGTCATGTATATGTATATTAGTATATGTATATATATTAGTATAGTGTCATATATATTAGTGACTGAAGACAGGGGTTTGGATATGTAATTGGTTTATAGGATGTTCACTAGTTGTAACTACACTTAATTATTACACTATTGTGGGTTTACACAATTTACAGTAACTGCACGCTAATCTTCTCAGTCTGTCTGCAGTGATTTTCATGTATGTATAACATGGGAGCTATACAAGTCTCACTGAATGACACACTCCCAATCCTGATGCACTATAGCAGACATTAAGTCTTAAAGTCACACATTAGATCCTCGCAGGCCAACCTCCTGTATTCTGTTTATGTACTTCTTCCACTGCTATTTCTCTCACATAACAAACTCTAGCTGAACTGAACTTTCACACACACGGACAGACAACGCATCATCATAAACACATGTCACGCGATCGCTACCCATCGCTGTTGTGTGATGTCACCGCACACGCAGGAAACATGGCACTTGATAGCCACCTATTGTAATGTGACATCACAGCATTCGCGTTGTGTAGCAACAGTCCATCCATGGGCATAGAAAACACTGTTCCTGTACCATTAGCCGCGTGTGTGTTTGCGGACGTTGTCTAGCAATGGGTCTACATGCCACAGTATAATGATCCTGTTCAGTGTTCAGATTTTATATTTGATGTAAAATGACATTTGATAGATTAATGTGAATAAAACATTGTGAGTCAGCATTAAGGTTCTTTAAGGACTACCAATTTTAAACTTCATTCAGTGTCATGCAGCTGGAGTGGAGGGTTTTCTCATGTGTGCAAATGGCAGTGAGATCAGGCTTATTTCTCCCAACTTCAAGCTTCAGCATCAAATGCCAAGTCTAAAATATTTCTGAACACATTGGAATCCTCATTTTGTATTCTTTTAATTAGGATTTTTGTTTTCCCCTCATTATATGTTCAGTTAAGTGATTTCAAGTCACTGTCAGATTTCCCCCATTTGAGATTCTCCTCTGTTTAAAATTTGTCTGTTGGCCATCACAGAATCCTTAACTGGCAATTTTGCTGCAGTTAAAATATTAAACTACATATGTGTAAGATAGTAATTTTCATGGAAATGAAGGCTGATACATTTTACAATGCTGTTGAATTGTTAATTTGTGTGACTTCGCAGTTTATAAAGCAAGGCAGACATAGTTTTTCACATTTTTCTTTTGATGTTTTCCATATTGCCCAAGCAGTAGTAAGAGTTGTATAATACTGTATTTCAATTTATCCATTGTTCAGTTACATCTTTTTCAATGCCTAATGCAACAGAAGATAGTAACTTTTTCCCCTCTCACTCCCACTTTGCAGCATAGGGCTGATTTTCAGTTTCATTGATATTTTTACAGATGGTAGGACTCTTTCGACGGGTGATAAGCTTGTGGCAAGGACTCTGAATAAACACGGGACAACACAAACACAGAATATACGCATACACACACCAAACATCCATGCTTTGTGTGGGATTTGAACCCATGATCCCGACTTAGTGTATTTGTAACCATGCTGAAAAATTTGTTGTACTCCAAATTTAGCATGATGATGATGATGATAATAATAATAATAATAATGTTATATTTCAGTGGGGCATTTGTGGCCCCCACAGTGCCATCTGGTGGTGGAAGCAGCAACAGTAGTAGCAGCAGCTTGGACCAAGTTGGTGGTAGTAGTGGTGGTGGTGGTGTGAAAAGACTCCATTCAGAGGTTGATGACAGTTCACCACCCCTTATAGTCGCAGGTGGAGAGGCTGACACCACTGTGACTGAAGAGGGAAAGAAAGCTAGAACAGAGGTTGAAAACTGCGAGTAGTGGGAAATGAGTACTGTAAAAGAATTTCACGTGTCCTGAAAGGTAAGTTTCTGTTGCAAATATGGAGGACGATTGATGGGACAAGAATATGTATAATTCCTAATTCCTGAATATACTTGAATAGCAAAAAATTGTTGAAATATATAACTAAAAGGCTGTCCTCTAACTTCTTATTACATATAATATAGTATAGCACCAGGGTTTAAATAAAAATTTAGGCTTGGCAATAATTTTTCTTCTTTGTAGTGATTATCATGGGGATGTGAAAGTAATGCAGGATAATTCAGTATTCTCATAGACAGTAGCTTTATCTCACTGCTAAGTAGGAGCCATCCTGTATACAGCCCATTATTTTCTGTATGCCCACAAGAATGGATGAACCATATTTTGCTTATGAATTTCTGCATACTCAAAGAACCTGCCCACATTCCACCTATAATTGACTGCACAGGCACACGTTTAAGAATAAATGCATCAGTTTGTATCAGACATGAGTAACAGTCATAAAGAACAAACGCAGTTTTAAATTTTACCAATATTTATATATGTACGTTATGTTCTGGGTTGTTCTGAATGCCATGATTGGAATAATACAAGTTCTTGATTTTACACATGTAAGCGATCATTGTGAGTCAGCCATTATATATAGCTATAAAATGCATGTTATAGTATGGGTACATAAACTGTACAGGAATCCATAACTGTTTAATTTTCTATGATAGACACATTTATGCTACCACACTTGTAATGGAAATAACCCTCTTTAAAAAAATCTGGTCCCTTGTTGAATGAATTGCACCATCAGCACTCCTTTCTTGGACCAGGAAACAGCTGCCATCAGCTTTCTGGCAGACAACATTTGTTTAAACATTTGGCCTGTTCGATGAATGTGTGTGCATCCACTGCTTAGACTTCTCTCTGGATTTAGCATTCACATATTTCATCACCTGTTGCTCAACTGATGTGATTGAGAAATTTATTGTGTCTTTGTGGTATCGCTCTAAAACAGTCAAAAGCCTAAGCCAATCTCTGTACTTTATGCACACCGATGAGCATTTTTGAAACACAAAACTTGTGATTGCCTAGACTAACTGTGAAATTTGTGGAAATTTACATGAAAGTATTGAAATTGTGAAGCACCATCTTTCACTTTAAACAATATCTCTCACTACTGATGACTGACCGCTTCGCTCTTTGCCTTGAACATTTGTTTGTCCTTCTTTGAACATTTGACTCCATTGTCTTCCAGTTTCTTCACCCATTACATTTTGTCCATAAACCGCAGTGTGTAATTCACAATGGATTTCCACAGCACCCATGTTTTTAGCTTGAAGAAAGTGGATAACAGCACGAATTTTGCACCTTACAGGATTATCAGTTGCAGGACACATGACTCACTCAGTAGAGAAAAGAACAAGCACTAGGTGACAATTTATATGGCAATGAGTCATGTGATGCTACCTTGCCTGCGTGAGCTCTTCCCCACTCCTACATTAGTTTCATTCATTCATTCATTTATTTCATTTCCATAAATCCATACAGAAACAAGTTCCATGAGATGTGGAAATAGTCAAGTTTGAATCTTAATATAGATACAATAAAAACATAGAAAAACAAGTTATAGAAATAAATTCAAGAATACATAAATTAATATAATTACATTTCAAAATAACAATTAGTATATAGTAAGCAATCATATTTCTGCCAAGGCCCTTTATATATATTGTTATGTTAATTGTAATAATAAGTGAACAATTAATAATTAAGATTTGAGGCTTTCACGGCGGTGACTATGAAGAAAGCAGTCTTCTGGGATTTGGCACCGTGTATATGTGGTGTTAACCGACGTTTCGGAGGAACGTATCGCCCCCATCTTCAGGGTAGNGGAGTGCATTAAAGACCTTCACCGCCATGTGGGACACGCCCCTACCATATACAGCCAGATTCACCTGGTTCATATGTAGATCCATTCTCCGTCTAGTTAATAAATCATGATAGTCATTGTTTAGAGCAAACTTGTCTCTATTTTTAACAACGAACATCATCAGTAAGTATACATATTGAGCTCTTAAAGGGAGTATATTTAATTCCCTGAATTTATTTCTACACAATGGTTTATATCCACAACCAACCATTAATCGTATAGCTCTTTTTTGCATCCTAAAAACCTTTTCAGCAGAAGCTGAATTACCCCAGAATATCAAGCCATAGGACATGACAGAATGGAAATAAGAGTTATAAATAATTTTCAGGGTAGTAATAGTCATTATGGGTTTCATGTTCCTTATCATATAACAAGCTGAACTCAGCCTAGTTAACAGCTCATCAATATGTCTTTCCCAATTCATAGTTCTAGTAATAGTTATACCAAGGAATTTAAGATCGTAAGAGCTCGTGATTTGTGTTAGTATGTTACCTACATCCCTTCCAATAGACGCCTTGTTGTTAGCAGTAAAATTTATACAACATGTTTTTACAGTGTTTAAAGACAATAAATTTTTTGAAAACCAATCACTAAGTATAAAATAAACCTCATCTAGTAAATTCTTTAGCTGCCCAGAATTGGGATGTGATACCAAGACACTTGTATCATCAGCAAATAAAATAGGTATACTGTTTAACTCCAAGATCTTAGGTAGGTCATTAATATAAATTATAAACAACAGTGGTCCCAAAACTGAGCCCTGCGGAACCCCATTTCTTACACTAACCCATTTAGATTGTGTTAAAACATTTCCATATCTATTTCTAATTTGTGTTCTCTGATATCTATTATGTAAATAAGACTTATATAAATTAAGATGTTTATCCTTTATTCCATAGTACATTAATTTATCCAATAATACCTTATGACTGACACAGTCAAATGCTTTTTCGAGATCACAAAAAATCCCACTGATTAAAGTTTTTTGGTTGAGAGCATTCAATATTTCAGAAATTACTTGAAATATCGCATTTTCAGTCCCCAAATTAGCTCTAAAACCAAACTGATGTTTACTTAGTACTTTATACTCATTTAGATGGCGTATCAATCTGCTATACATTACTTTCTCAAAAATTTTACTAAAAGAGGTAAGGATAGAAATAGGTCTATAATTGGATAAATCACATTTTTCACCTTTTTTGAATACTGGTATAATCTCAGCATATTTCAGCCTATCTGGATATACACCTTCAAATAATACTTTATTACATAGATAGCTTAGCGGAACACTTATAAAAATTTTACTAGCTTTTAAAATTGAATTAGAGATACCCTCATAACCATGAGTAGTTGAAGCTTTAAGAGACCCTATTATCTTTTCAATTTCAGTATTAGTAGTTTTCAAAATTTCACTACTAGGAAATGGGCTACTAAAAGCCTTTGACATATAGGACATATAGTTTTCAAATTTATTTAATGATGGCAAGTTGGTACTATTCATATCCTTTTCTTTCCTTTGCCTGTGGATATTGTCAGCAATCTTATTAAAATAATTATTAAATGCATCCACAGTAGTGTTCAAATTGGTAGTACGTTTCCCATAAATGCATAAAGCATTAATATTGTCTTTTGTTTTTCTGGCTTTCGTACAAACTTCAGTATTTATTATATTCCAGGTACTTTTAGTTATATTTTTGGAATCTCTAAGTTGTTTTTCATATGTGATTCTTTTGGCTTGCTTGATTACCATATTTAGTATTCTACTATAGTCTTTATAGTATTTAAGTAATACTGGATTGTTTGTACTTTTAGTTTCTAGATATAGGTCTCTTTTCCTTTTACAGGAAACTAAAATACCTGTAGTAACCCATGACTTAGATTTCTGTTTAAACCCTCGTTGTAAGGGAAAAGAAGAATTAAAATGTCTCAGAAATATATTTAAAAATTCATTAAAGCTAGAGTTTAAATCACAGGTATTAAATACAGGTTCCCAGCTTTCATAGCTCAGTTTCATTTGAAAATCGAATAGACTATCATTATTAATTTTTCTATGATAATAGATATGTTTCTCTTTAGTAACCTGTGAAGAAACATTTAGTATTAATAGTTGCCCTTCATGATCAGAGAGTCCATTTGACATAGGAATAGTTTCATAACCCTCATACTGATGCACATTGATAAAAATATTATCTATAAGTGTCGAAGTACCACATCCAATCCTCGTGGGAAAAGTAACAGTAGATCTAAGATTAAAAGTACCAAATAAGACTTCTAATTGTCTTTTCATAGGACAGTCTTCACTAAAATTTACATTAAAATCGCCACAAATAATAACCTTGTTGTTATTTTTACAGAGTTTATGTAAAATTAATTCAATATTACTTAAGAAAGTACTAAAATTTCCAGAAGGAGATCTATATACTGATATGATACAAATTCTATCCCTATTAGTGTTTAGATGGACTGCACATACTTCAATGTCCTTATCTACACAGTATCTATCAAGGTCAACAGGGGAGTTTTTCAAGTTATTTCTAACATAAACACAAGTCCCACCTTTGTTAAAAAATTTCCTACAATAATGTGCTCTCAATAGATAATTCTGTAGATTTAGTAGAATTATCTCTTCTTTCACAAGATGATGCTCCGTAAAGCATATGACATTTGGAGAATGCTCTTGGAGATGACATAAAATTTCATTGTATTTATTTCTTAGACACCGAATATTTTGATGAAAGATTTTTAAAGCGGTGTTATTATCAGGGATATTTTCCCTATTCTTATGAAAATTTACCATAAAAAATCCTCAGATCTCGTAATTGGGAGTCTTCTAGTTCTAACAGGTAGTTTGTTATTATTAGATTTCAACATCTTAGTCTTGTTTAATATAATGTGATTTTCCTTATTTCTATTTCCATCAGGGTTTATGCCCTGACCATTTATTCCAGATATCATATTAGAGTCGTCTTGAAAAGTTACACCACCATCACATGTAATTACTATAGAATCTTCTTCATATTGTGTCATCCAGCCTAGTTTGATTGGACTATAAGATTGTTTATGGAATAAAGGAAGTATAGTATTCACTATCTGTAAAGCTACTTTCTCTTTCCCATGTTTGTTCATATGCAGACCATGCGAGGTGAATAATTCCCATCCACATTCAGCATCTTAAGATGATTAAAGCACTTCCTAAAGCACTTTCCTAAAATAAACAGATATTACTTGCTGAATTTCCCTTGTATGTACTAAGTGTGAGATGTGGGGTGCAATACCATGAGCGCAGCAGTTTTCTGTCACTGAGTAAGTTAGCTCAGGTGGTAATAATTCTGACATATTCAGGATGAGCTTGGTGTTAATATTGGCTGGGACACCACCTGTTCTGGCTGAGATGTTATGTGGTTTTCCTCAGTTCCTCCAGGTGAATGCTGGGATTGCTACCTTGAGATGGGCCACAGCAGCCCCCTTCCACGTCGTTTCCAGTCTGTTGTTCATTAAATAATCTGTAAATAAATGAAACAGATCTCTGTCGACCAACTTTTGTTTGAGGTGACAGGATGAAAATTATGTCTGTATAGTATATTTTTTTCAAAAATTGCCTGCTAACAAGAAGAGGCCTTTGGGAGAGCAAAAGTCACAAGTAAAGGAATGCCAGGAAAAGATGAAGAATAAGGGAAATATGTTAGCTGTTTGGGATGGAAATTTAATAGTAATAAAGGGAAAAAATAACAGGAGATGTCATCATTGAGATGATATAATGCTACAACTGCATGACGGCCAAGAGGAGAAAGGAAGAAGTGGGGAAGACATTGTATTTACTGGATTATAATAAACCCATTGTTGTGGTAGAGATCCAAATCCAGTTCATTAAAGCCTGATGAATGTTTCTATACAAAATACTTGTCTTTTGTGAGAATCTGGAGTTTTGAGGTCAGACCAGTGAACCAACTAATTTCAAACTATTGTAGTACATACCAAACAATCTCCTTTGTTGAACAATCTTGTCAATGTTGAACTAAAAACCAAAGTTTCACTGATCTCAGTCTCCATCTTCAGGGTCAGTGTCATGTGATGTGTAATTTTTTTATTGCTGTCATTTTCTGAGATATGAGTTTTAAATCTTAGCAAACCACATGCCAGTTAAATCTGCTTGTGGTACGCATGTTGAGACTGCCAGAGCCAGAGAGACTGGTTAATTGTTACAAAATTACTATGGCACATGCCTGTAGATTGCCTCAAGTGTTATACAACAGTGTTTAGAGGAAAGGAGAGGGTTGCAAGCGTACTACCTGCTGCTGTTTGAATGTCATTTTAAATATTTTTGGGTTTTCTCTTCAACTCCATTTACCCAGAAGCAGTGGCATTTGTGAGAGGTAGTTCTATAGCAGGGCTTTGGAGTTAAAGTTTAATGTGGCATTGAACTTGGGGTCTCAACCTTGTGGTTCAGAACACTGTTAGTGCCAGGCCACACCTAAAGATTTGAAGTTCTGAAATTGTTACTTGTAAATAAACTTCTATTGGTGGTATGGCAGAACAGGTTAGCATAGCAGTAATGCCCAGCTTGGTTCATATCTCTGGCCAGGGCATCGTGCATCCTGACTTAGGTTTTTGTTTGTCCTTAGTCCCTCCAGGCAGATGCTAGGATAGTACCTCAGTTAGGCCACAGCTGCTTCCTTCCCAATCATCATCTATGATCTCGCCATTCAACATTATATCATTTAGCTACTGAAAGCATCACTAAATAACCCACAAATAAGAATTTGTGATATGAATGTTTTTACTTTTTCCCTTCCTCTCTGCTTCTGAAGTCTGTACAAGCTGTAAGACTGAGGTGATTTAGTCCATTGTATTTTTGTCTTCCCCTGATCTCAAGGAAATCATTACAATAAAATATTGGGAATAAAGTTGTGATTTATATATTCTGGTATTTGTTCTAGGTTGCCAACTGGTTTGGAAATTAAGCATGTAAGGGTGGTGTATTATCAACACTAATTGTAAGTTACAATGTTTAGTTCATCAGCTGCTGAATCAGCCAAGTGACTGATGCTTAAAATAATCAGTTGTTGCAAGCTGTAGGTTTCAAAGAAACAAAGAGAAGTGTGTTACATAAAAAGTACGTGGATTATACATAATACCTTGGTGAAGAGACTGCTTCCAACTGTTCCATACAACTACAACTGCTGGTAGTGAAATTAGTATGGACTAGTTGCTGGTTCCCAACTTCATGCTTAATGTATGTAATACTGACATATTTATTCGAGGAGATGATGTCTAATTAAAATTATATTTTCCATTAAATTAGTTTTAGGACTGTGTGAATTAATTGATGTGTACATTGATTTATAAACTGAATAAATTGATTGATCAAAGAATAATGGTAATATCAGTGACTAAAGTTCTAAAACTGCCCTGGCATATAAAGAAAAGCTTCTTGGAAGAATACATTTAGTGCATATTTAGTGTAAATATGCATTTTTGTCTGATAAAATTCAATGTTTTTGAAGCATTTCCTTGTGCAATGCACAGCGCTGTGGGTATCCTGTCTGAAGGTGCATGCAATGCAGAGAAGTTGGGAACCATTGACAAATGCTCTACACCAGTTACTTAAGGCATTTTGTGTTGGTAGGAAGTCAGGATCAGACCAGTTAAACTGCAGTGTCTTGTTTTCCTGTACTGCAATTGGTTTTAAGTTCATAGATATGTCCTCCATTTCTTTCTGTGACTTTTACTCTTCTGACTAACAGGAACTCAGGACCAGCATGTTTTTCATGTTTGACATGATGATTCATGAATGGCATTACATTCAAAACAAGTGTACTGAAGCATATTTTACTGTGACTCACATATAAGTATGAAATTGTTACTATTAAAAATATCAGTACTGTGTAACTTTTCTGCGTTTATATAAATATCCTAAACTGTTGCTATGTTCACTTCCAAGATGCAGTTTGCAGGTGATCAACAGCTGGTCCATTTAATTTGCACTAGTCTTGTGTGTTTCTGTTGAATAGTATGTATGTATGTATAATTGAAATATCCTACAAGCACAAAATGCCTTCAGATTCACGTTGTTATTTCCTGTTGCTGCACAAGGGGATTATAATATAACAAGCGGGTAAGGGATGAGATATACTCGTTGACAAATAATTTTCATGGTGGTTCAAAGTAATGTATATGTCTTGAACATTCATCATATATAAAGGTCTTGGAAAAGTGTTACAGGTTACTTAACTTAATGTATGTTTTTCAGGTAAAAAATGAAGGAAATTTAATAGTATGAAGTGGCATATTGTAAAAATTCAATCTTAATTCATTCACTAGTTCAGTCAAAGTAATCTCTGCAGTGACATTACCTTTAGACCAGACAGAATTAAGTTAAAGTTGTCTACCCAAGCACGAAGCCATGAAGCCAATTGAAAATTGATAAGAAATTGTTACCCAAACAATTAACTCACACTCTTCCATTTACTAGTTGTGTCCTTGAATGTCCTATCCTAATCAGGAGCTTCTTGCTCAGTTGATGGTTTGTTAAAATGGAAGGAGACTTCAATATCACTGCACTGCTGGGGCTCAGACTGTAGCAGTTTGAACCACTAGTAGGCATGTTAAAAGATTCATGGAAATTGTGCCAGTTTCAGTGCTTGCTCAGTATTCACTGTCTTCACTGTTATTGGTGGTAGATTTTTTGACTACCTTACCAAGGAAAATAAGAGAAAACTACTGTACATAAATGATCCTAGTAAAAGCCATGCTTTCCTTTAGTTTTATTAAAAGAGGAGTGTACTTCTCATTGTGTTTGAAGTGTGATCTTTTTCTCCCAAAATTGTGAACACAGAATATATTCTAAATAGAATTATGTGTGCTCATGTTCCAAACATCAATGGGACATAGGTAAGTATTGGGTTTTATGCCCCTCTCCCCCCAATAAAGTGCCCCTGTTCACTTCATAAGCTGAGTGATCATAAGTATCTCTGCTGTACATTTTGAATTAATTGTTGTGTTAGTATAAGTATTATATATGTTAGTTTCAAATTTGTGGTGTACTTAGTTCCCACTATGTAGCATAAATGTGTCTTACTCCATAATAACATTTTCATCCATGCATTGGCAACATTTTTTACCTGCTGCTGTCACTAGCAACTAGGATTCAGATGGTTATGTATTGAATGAATATGAAATATGCACAGTAAGGCAAAAGGATGCAATTCTTTGGCCAATATTTCCCTTATCACTGGAAAAATAAACAGTTTTGATAATGTTTGCAGATTGTAGTATTTAAAATTACAGTATGCCCACAAGACCTCCATAGAAGGATCAGAATTTGCACAGAGAACAAAATGTCCTGTGACATCATAATCTAAATCTGTATGATTTCATGCTGGTGTCTTTTTAATTTTCTACCCAAGAATTACATTTAAAAGTTCATTAATTTTTGTAACATTTTCAGCTCCAAAAATGTCATTTTCCAAGTATCTTTTTTTATTCAGTTCCTTTCATACTGTAGATAAATTTGATTCCTAATGTTGTCAACATTTAATTTTCTTACAGAGTAGCTGTAAGAAGTCATATGCAGTGGTTAAAATTCTGAAGGTCTCTCTCAGAATGTGCTGTGCTTTGTTGCTGTAGCATATAAATGTACTCTTTCCATACTCTTTCTGTAACAGTGAATCAAAGGTGTATTATTCTTGAAAATATAAAATTCACTGCTAAATTAGTAAAATTGCCATTTATTATTGTGATGTGGACTAATATAGCAAAGATAATACATAAATGGCCCAGAGTTCAATTTGAAGTGGATGGAATCCTTATTCAAAGTGGGACCTTCTTTCCCACTCATCGCTGAAGTGAAGATACATTAAACAATTTCAAACTTTTAAATCAAAGAGGCACCTAAAAGTGAATTCCAATGTAAATCTTTTAGGGGTGAAACCCAGATAAGTAATATTGCCATAGTAATATAAGAAAGCAAAATACATCACCAAACTTGGGTGGCTTTTTAAAGAAATATATATGTTTGTATAACTCTCTGTTTCTGTGTTATAATTCATTTTATAAATAAAATATACCGTTTGAAACAAGATTGCTGCAAAGTAAGACATCTTCATTACAACAACAAATAGAAGGAAGTAAGGCATTATGTAATAGTATATGTGAGTGGTAGAAGTTCATTTTTTTGTCCCAGAGTTAGAGAAAACGTTACAACAGGCAAAATTATTGTACCCGTTCAGCCTTTTGATTTATTCTTAAATGTGTAATCCAGCTGAGTGTGCTGACACCTCACAAGTCAAATCACTGTTACAGTTGTATTCAGATGAATTAGATGTGAGAGTGAAGAAAAAAGACTTTTGGACTGTGGAAAGTTATAAGTACTGTTTTGAAAACCATTACTCTGATATTCAACAAAACAGGTATCCTAGTTTCTCACTTTATTCTGTTCCTTACGATAGAAATGTTCCTAATAATCTGTACATATGGTTTGTTTATATGACAGCAAGTGTTAGATATTAAAAGCAGTTTGGAATGTTACATTACATACAGCTTGTTAAAGAATGGTATGGATTATTTTGAACCACCCTGTGTACATTTCATGGAGCTATTTATGGGTATATAAATGACCAGCCATTGTCCTCAGTTCTGAGGGACCACCATTTTGTGTTTTAAGCAGTCCACGCTGAAGTTTTTAAAGAAATGGAAGAGAAATTTAAACATTCTAAATTTTCTAATTGAGAAACTGCGTTGCTAGTTTCTAAGAAGACAGAAGTGTAAGTATGTAAGTCTGTATAAAATTGAACCTTTAAATAGCTCATAATGGATAGAAGAAAAACAATTAAATTGTTTGCTTTATACATATTTGTAAGAAGTACAACTTATTCTGCCTTATTTGTACCAATTCTTGTTAAACTCGTGTTATTTTGGATAGATTCCTCATGATGTTGTAATTTTGAAAAGTAGTGTTTTTTAAAATATAACGTTTATAAGTAGGAAACTTTAACATGAATTGATACAAATATGCAGTGTTATTTTAAGCATATTGTTTAGGCTTGTAATGTTATTGTAGATTATTTGTACACATTATTGTAAATGTCAATATTTCGTGAATAACTACTGGAAAGAACATGAAAATATATTATTTACTTACTAATACATACATACATACATAATATATATATATAAATACATATGAAATAGATTACTAATTTGTTCCTTCTGTGATTCAGTTCATTATATAAGCAGTTAATTTGTAGCTTTAGTAGACTGTTAAGATCACATTTAAAAGAGAGATTTTAGAAGAGACCAGAAGATTTAAGTAATGGAAAGACTAATATTACATGTTTAAGTATAATAGAACAAAAGAGTGTCTCATTCTTGGGCAGTTTTGATATCAGTAAGGTTACATATTCTTTGCTTAATTTTGTAAACATAACGCAACTGTTTATTTTATGATCTAGCACTGACTCCTAAATTAGTTCATAACTCATATGATGTGATTGACTGTTATTTGTGTAAATCTTTTTTTTTTCCCCCGGAAAACAATCTACAGTACACTGTATTTATACAAACAGCCATGCTTTCTTATATTAAGTAATTTTATTTCCGTCTCCTTCATGTCCAGACGTTTTTGTGCACTAAACGTTGATATTCTGAAGTGGAAGATGGAGCATGCCTCTTTCTTCTCTTGCATTTTACAGCCTTTAAATTCAAAGTTCACAACTTCTTACCTTTACAGACAGGCCAAAGGCAAGCAACCCAAAAAGGCAACTCTCAGTCCAGTAAAATCACATTGTTCACACACAACCTTGCCTAAAGTTTCATAATGTGGCATTCTAGTTTACAGTATATGAGATAAAAATTGTCACATATTAGTAACCAGACACTGGGATTGAATTTATAATTAGATTTGTTCAAAACTGACTCATTACCACATATCATTAATACATCACTGATTCATGCACTTTACAAAACACTATAGCATGTGCTAAGTCTCAGCCTGTTATGGTCATCGTTGGTCATTGCTAGGTAGCAGAACAATTGATATTTTTCTGCTTCCATTCTCCCATCCTTACTGGCTGGCAACTTTCACCTTTGCCAGTGCCTAGAAATTGCTGCATCTAGTTTTTCAGCTCTCATGTTAAAATATATTTTTCCAGCATATGTGTGTTGAAGTGTACATATGCCCTAAATGAATCATAAAATTATATATTCAGAAAAAAGTTAGTTTTCAAAAGCTGTATTTCAAAATTATATGTGCAGAAGCATTCTGGAAGTTATTGTGCATATTTCAGTATTACTCCTGAACTGTTACTCATTTGGTGTATTCAAGCGCTAAATGAAATTCTGAATTTTATTTACAGTTAGATGAAAGGAAGTACCTGATTATAATTGTCACATTAGAAAACAATAAAGCTGATTTTGAAAATGCTACATAATGTAGTGAAATATCTAAGTGGCATGAATATTTTAAATTACAAATATTGTTTGATAGGGCTACTGGTTAAGTCCTGTTCTTAATTTCCCTCAACTTGAACCAGTTAAGACCTGTGTTCAGAGATCTGTACACACAAAGACCTGTCTTCGTCTTAATTAAAAAAAACAAAACATTTTCCCTCTGGATACAAGGGATTGAGACATGTAAAACCCAACTTAAAATTAGTACATACAAAATGTAATACAGGATGATCAGACCTCAGACTAGGGAGTAAGCTACATAGGCAGCTGCCACAGCTGAACGTTTGATGTTACCTTTTATAAATGCACGTTTTTATTTTGAGAAAATGTTACTGTGCATGGCACATGTCTATTAATTTTGTGGTAAGTCAAGTAACGTGATCAGAATTTATGCTTAAAACTTCTGGTTGACTGTAACATACCTTCATGGGCACACAGCAGTGAAGGAAAACGGAATTCTGTTGAATAATGGCTGATAGGAATGAGATGATGCAAAATTGTCTGTAAATTATATTTTGTGATGTTTTAGAGTGGTGAAAGAAAAAAATAACCTCAGAGTTCAGCTGAGTGTAATGAGTTCAGACCACATATTTGCCAATGAATCAAGCATGTTGTTCATATTAGAGGAGCAAGTTATGTATAGTTTTCATCAGCACAAGTGCTGATCTACATTTTTCGCAAGCATTGACCGAAGGTCAGATAATTAGGAAGGTGAACATCGTTTTAAATGTTTATTGAAACCACCAATTTGATGTAATTGATTGGCCACCATAAATATTGGCAGCAAGCTGAAAATACTTATTTCTGGCTGTAACTTGATGAACAGTATTTCTGTTCACAGACTTTTAAGGGGGCTAAGAAGGAATGCTCTCAATCAGAATGGATGGTATTGATGTGAAAGTGTTGCACTCTGAATTATTTATAATGTAATGAAATGGAAGGAGAGACAGTAGTACCCCCTTCAGGATTTAAAATTGCATTAAAACAGCATCCAGTGCTGAATTTAGAAAAAGAAAGCAGAAAAAGGCATTCACAGTGTCACAGCGATAGCAGAAATGGTGAATTAAAGATGCAGAAATTATCAGTGAAAGGAGCCCATTTGCAGTATGCAGACTTCAGTAACCAGTAAATACTGCTATTAAACTAAAACATACAACTCTGAAATTCAAGAAGCTTCTTGTGAATGTTCAGTACTTGAAAATAATAACTTAAAACCACCAAACACCTGACAATATGAGCGTTACTTTAGTTATGGATTATTTACTTGTTTGCATGTCACGTCTGAGTAGAAATTTAATAAATTGGGACTGTAAACCGTCATTTTGCTTTCCATGCATTCTCTTTGGCAAACAAAATAATGTACTATAAAATCCAGAGAATATTCTGACTGTGAAGATCTTGAATCGACACATGGAAAGTAATGAGAACTGATTAAGATTATTACACTGATTTTTAAGTAAAAAAGAATGGAAGGTGGGTGCTTTATTGACAGTAAGATTCAATAATCATTTGAGTCAGAAAGGCAAAATGTCATAAGTTGTCCAAAGTAATTTGCAAGACATTCTGTTTTGTATAAATTATTTGCAACATAAAACTGAAAATCCAAATGTATAAACCTATCTTGATATTATGGAACTGACTGGTTACCGTAACACAGCACAACTTCTGTGTACTGTGTGACAAAAAAGACAGCGAGTTTCTTGTCTTGCTGAGCAATGAAGTGAAAACATTTCAAAATTAGAAGAGCAAATTATTTTTTCTTTATGCAACTGTACCCCTAATTTTACCTACCAAGAACAGATGAGTGGAATAATTTGGTATGTCAGTACTGCTGAAGGAAGGGAAAATAGAGTTTTATAGATTTCATTTATGCATTTGAATAGTAATGGATGGGCATCAAAAATTCTCCATAAATTACTGTTGGGTAGGATCAGTATAAAAAATTCAAGAGGCCAAGGGTATGACAGTGAAGGCAATATGACAGGTAAATTCATTGGAGTTCATGGATGTGACCGATTTGTGCCATATACATATCTTAATCTCAGGTATAAGCTGCTTCTCTGAATAATAGGGCTCTTGCATTTTTCTACAAGTTTCACCAGCTGTTTGGAAAGTGTTATTAAACACATTACAGCCAACCTTTAAAGGTCACTTGGAAACATGCTAGTCTTCTAAGGCAAGTGCTGTCGAAGTGTTGCAATCATAAATAACAGAAATCTAAGGTGTTCTGTCACAAGTACAATGTATCCTGGGAGAAAGTGGCCCAGTTGATGTTAATCAAGTCATTCTGAGATAAAGGTGCTATGACAGTGTTTAGTATTTGCAACAGGTAAGGAGTTGTGGTTTTTTTCAGCATCGTTTTTTTAGGTAGGTCATTTAATAAAGCTGTCAGTCTTGAGAGACTGCCTCTGTGGTCTAGTGGTCAGCGTTCCTGGCTACAGATCCAGAGGTCTGGGTTCGATTCCTGGCACTAAAAGATTTTTCTGAGAAGTAGTGGGTCTAGAACGGGGTCCACTCAAACTTGTGATGATAATTGAGGAGCGGCTCCAGTCTAGAAAACCGAAATTAACAGCCGTGGGGATTTGTTGCTCTGACCATGTGACACCCTCTATCTGCAAAAGTTGGCACTAAACTTTGCTGGCATTGGTAGTTGCTCCATTGGTATAGTTTGCTTTCTTTGTCAGTCTTGAGACTGTATAGTGTTGATAGAATGATTTAATGAATGTGGAGCTGTTGGTGGAGTGAGAATTGGCAACACTTGGAGAGGACTGCCCTGTTGCCACATTGTCCACAAATCCCACATTACCTGACATGGCATCAGATGTGGGTCACCATGGTGGAAAGCTGGAGACTAACTGCCTGAGCACAAGTAGTATAATGTTAAAATCTGGTTCTGTACAGATGCAAATTTATTATAAAACTGCTGATATACACAGTATTCACTGGTATAAATATTCAAGCTGTGCACCTTCAACTTCTGTACACTTTGAGCTTGGTGTGTCAATGAACTGATTGTACTTAAAAAAAAATATCAGGGTTGTCCTTTACCTTATCTGCAGCGTCAGAAATTGTGTCTTTGAGTTAGGCCTTTTTGACACTAATCTTTTCTTGTGACCCCCAAAAATAATCTAGAGGACTGAGTTCTTGAGATCTCAGAAGTCAGGCATTTGGACCACTTCTGGAAAACCAACATTCAAGTTATGTCATTAAGATAGTCTCACCTAGTGACTAAAATGTGCAGGAGCTCGATTGTATTGAATATACGTATGATGATGTGTCATTAAGGGAACAAGTAAAAGGATTAACAGTTCATA